CGCCTGCTGCAAGGTGGGCTGAGAATAGGGATGGAAAAGCGGGCATTCCGGGAGGAAAACTAATACTGTTGAATGGAAGCGTCGAATTTTGCGCATGTGGTGTAGGATTGGAATGTAGCCAATGAGCCTCCGCGGCTTCAGTTCTGACAATAGTGGATGGCCATTGAGCATTCTCCTGGATTACACAATCGTTGGATACAGGGTGACCTGCGTGGTGAGTGCCGTTGACATTGCCGACGAATTCAGTGGATGATAAAAGGAAAGCATCAGGCATTATACTTTCTTCTTGCCCATGACTCCAAGAGACACGCTCAAAACCCGCGGCAAATTGTTGAGGCGCTCTTGTCGATATGTCCTGGTAGCCATCGAGCGGTACAGTATTCTCGGTGGACTGAGGTAGGGGGTTTAGGTGCGACGAGGTTTCTTCAGCTGGTATGATTGTTTCGGAATCGTGTGTGACATCTTCGTTCTGAACCGGAGCTTCATTATCCCCTGAGCTACCCTGATCGTTTGACGGAGCAACCTCAATGGTATCGCTCAAAGTGTTTAGCGACCGGTCGATATTGTCAGCAATACCCGACAATGCGGTACTCAGCCCTAGAATGCGGGTTTTGGTGGCGGTTAGAGCCTCGCGCAATCTAGTGCACTCTTGCTCGGCTGTTTTGAGCCTGACACTTTCACTGAGTTCCTGCTGAGCAGCTTTGCGCTCCAACTCCTTCACGTAGCGCGCATGTCGTTCTCTGAATGACCGTTGTGCAACACGGTTACGTGTACGTCTAGTGAGCAAATGGTCAGTCCACGAAACCCTGCAGACACTTGCATCCTACCGGTTTGCAATTGCAACTGAAGGAGGTCGGGCGGACCCATCGCTAGAATCCATTCTTTCGCATCGGCAGCGGAGTAGACCATGACTGTGCCATCGATGTGATAATAGCTTTCATTAAGTACCCGTGAGGAGTCGGAGTGGATATAGAAATACAAAATTTGCGGCCAAGCCCTGTTGCCCGAGGTTTGCTCATGCTCATCAAGCGTGAGAGGGTTCCCCGTGGGTCGTGGATGTCTCTCCATTTAGGTGACCTCCAGTGTGGAGACGTACTCGAAAAGAGTCAGAAGCCAATTAGTCACCGATCATGGCCAGGGTGGGAGTCTCATCTCCAGAGAGGCCAGGCGTTAAATGCACAGATGAGAATCGTCTATAAGGTGATACCACGATATAGCAAGGTCACAAATTTTGCATACTACCATTTTGCCGGATACTACCTACCTCATCCCTACATCTCAGAATAATCTACATTAGCACATTCAGCAGCAACCGTTTTGAGCTATAACACAACACAACTTTCTTCGGGTCACGAGAGCATTGATGGACAACTCATTCGTTGGGCGGACGATCGCCATAACTGTAAGGCTATCCTTTATCCACTCGTAATCAACTGCTCAGACTTGTGGCCTTAGGGAGGAGGTTCAGGCATCGGTCTTGCCACTACACGAGCTTTGCTTAATGCTGGTGCGACTGTGTATGTGGCCGATGTCATCAAGGCACCGCCTGAGCTCGAAGGCCAGGCCAATCTGCACTATGATGGAAATTGTGACATCACTAAACGTGAATGTTGTAAGAAATTTATCGAGTCCATCGCTGGAAACCTGGACGGTCTTGTAAACTGCGCAGGAATCTGTCCTGTGGAGGGCAAAATGGCATCGGACGACCTCTTTGCGCGAATCATGGCAATCAACGTAACCGGATCGTGGAACATGGGTACTGAAGCTATTCAGAAGATGATTCAACAGAAGAGCCGCTCACCCTCCGGCCTTTTGCCAGGAAGCGAAAGAACTCTTGGAGCGGGGGTAATTGTCAACATTGCCAGTGGCGCCTCCCTGCGTGGAATTGCCGGTCTCACGGCATACTGTACATCCAAACATGCTGTCTTGGGCATGTCTCGCTCATGGGCAAAAGAATGGCCAAGTCTGCGTGTGAATGCCGTTGCCCCAGGTGAGTCTCTTCCTATTGCATGCAGAAATCAAGGGCAAACTAACAGCCATTCTAGGTGTAACAGATACGCCACTCTCCAGAGGGGCGACAAATAATACTGGGAATACTGAGGATCTGAAAAAGCTATCTTCTGCCCTTTCTGCACGGATTCCTCTTGGGCGCATGGCTTATGCTACAGACATTGCTGATGTCATTCTGTTTGCTCTATCACCGGCAGCAAGCTTCATCACCGGCCAAGTAATACCAGTGAATGGAGGCTCAGACTAAGTATGGAAGTTGTAAAAAGATTAGATGTGTAACAAATTACCATTTCTCTCAAGACTCTATGGGATTTACCGGCTCTTTCTTTGGCAACAGTCCACCCGGACTGTCATCAGTTCCCAGATAGTAGGACAGGTCACTACCATCAAACTCCTTTGTGCTGAACCCATTTCCCAGGAAACTGAAGGGATTTCCATACTGGTAAGTAATCGTATAGTCCTCGAATCTAGGCTGCTTGAGAAGATCCATATACACAAGTCTGCTGCCAGGAAATATCGCCGCTTTCCCGTCCAGTCGTCCTTGCTTGAACCAACTTCTGCAGGGTCCGGACCATGCTGTTCGTTGAATGAACAGGTCTGCGTGCTCCGCAAAATGCTCACTGACATCTCGTCTCGGTGCAAGTGACTTGATGTTCTCTTTCTGCATCTTCTTCACAATTGCGAGAATGTGCCGACTCACAAGTTCAATAATTGGAATGAAGGACCCGTGGCCAAGAGGTCCATAAGGTCCAACGCCCATCCAATAATTGGGAACTGTGGTTTTGTCAGAGAAAGTGTGATCACAGGGGGGGCGACTTACTCTCCGGGACACCAATCGAGAGGTATGATACTAGTCGTTCAGAAAAGACATCTTGCACATTCTTCCCATTTGCGATGACTGGAAACCGAGGAATCCAACTGGTATCGAAGCTGATATATTGTTAGCTTCTGAAAGAGGCTGACATGGGCTCATCATACCCAGTAGCACAGATAATCACGTCGACTTCGTGTTCACTTTCATCGTCGTTGACAAATCCTTTTGGTGTGATTTTCTGGAGCCTTTGAGTGAATACCTTTACGTTGGGCTTGATGAGAGCCTCAAGGAACCCGTTTCCAGGCTAGTTTTATCATTAGTTTAATATCGTTGAGCAGGATAGATTTCGAATCCTACCGTGGGGCGTCGACATCCAATACTGAAAGTTTTTGGAATTAGCTTCTCAGCGAGTTCCTTATTACCGCCGAGTCGTTGTCGCATCTGGTTAGTTGCGAACTGAACAATGGTTAAATAGAGTTGAACTAGGCCATTGGGAGTGTACATACCTCCTTGGCTTGTGCTGCTTCTGGGGTGTCGTTCAGTATGAACTTGAATCGTGAATTTAGCTCACTTTCAATTTGTTTGCAGTAATGAAGATATTCGAGCGGGTCATCTTGGAATCTCTTCTTCTGTTCATCGGAATCTTTTATCCGGTTAGCCAACCAGGCCGGCAAAAAATTCTATACACACATTCGAAGTTTTCACCGTTTGGGCCGGCCCAATTCTGCGCAAACCCTGCCGTGATCCATGTTGAGGACCTGACCCAGGTGAATAGCTGGTCCACCTGGTCGGCTATCGTAGCTGTGACTTGGATGCCACTGCTACCCATGCCAATCACAGCTACACGCTTCCCCTTGAGGTCTAGACTGGGATCATAACGTGCGGTGTGGCAGACCGTTCCTTCGAAGGAGCTTAGGCCTTGGATGTCAGGAATCTTCCAGTTACTGACGATACGGTTAAATCAGAGATGTTCAGGCTGAAGGGGACGGCAACCTTACTTGAGAACGCCAGCATTGTTGATGAGGATTTCTGCTCGGTCAACAAAAGTTGCCCCGCTTGGATCCTTTATAGTCACCTCCCACACCCCCATATCGTCGTCCCACGAAGCAGCTATGACTTCGTGGTTCAGCTTCATATACTTATTTAAGTTGAAGGTTTCGACAACGTCTTTGAGGTAGCGCCATATCTCGCCTGCCGAAGAATAGAATTGTGACCAATTTGGGTTCCTTGCCCAGGTAAACTGTTCTAATCATCAGCTTGAATTCGTTTATACAGAACAGCAGCTTACCTGGTAGTTGACTGCCGGTATATCACAAGCGCACCCTGGATACCTTTTTATTTGTTAGTTACAATCTTTCGTCCATTCGTCATTGGCAATACTTGCTTGTTCTCAAACCATGTACCACCGATGTCACTGTTTTTGTCATAACAAATCAGATCAACATTCCCCGAGGACTCGTCGAGGTATTTTGACAAGCAAATCCCAGAAATTCCAGCTCCCACATGGATTATCCTCATAGGTCGTTCAGTGCCATATGGGCGTTCTTGAATTCTGTAGCCCCTCTCATTCTCGCTAGACCAGTGATGCTTACCAGCTGGTCCTTCTGATATAGTTTCCCACTTCATTCTGTGCTGCTGGCAATGAGATATTCGCCAAGTTCAGTGTTGCACTACGCTGAGGCAGGAGGATTTGGAAGCCGGATTCTGAAAAGATCCCGGCTCGACTTCTATATGTCCTTCTTCATTATATCCTCTGTACGCCTGAAATGATAATGGTCGGCCATAGAGAAATTTGCCAAGCATTGCACGTGCATAGTATTGTGTTCATGGAGTATGGCCACCGTTGGTAACTCCGACGTCGAATGACCATGTGCAGGTGTTAGTAAAATCTGGCCCCTTTTGACTTACGTGAGTGCCTGACAGCCAAGAGCCACCAAAGAGACGCTGTCCACCAACCAAAGATTGCCGGTTACGTGATTGAGAAGTGCCCACAGTGGCAATTCGTCCGTGCGCACTCAGTGGCCAGCGGCATGATTCACACCCAGCATCTACGAGATGTGATGGAGACAGGGAGGCACCTCTAGACTTGAAGACGACCAAGTGTGGTTATTGTTGGCATAAAGGCTTTGCATTCATACCTGATAGAGTGAACAGGGACTTACACTAAACTCCAACAATGGCTCCCACGCCCTATCGCATGAAAGGGTGAGTTGTGTTGCAACTATTTCGCTGGGTTGCAAATGGCGGCACTGACATAGAAAGGATTGCCCTTATCACGGGTGCTGCATCAGGCATTGGAAGAGCAGTGGCTCACACGTTTGTTCTCGAAGGGTGCACGCGGCTCGTCCTCGCAGATCTCAATTCCGACGGCTTGCAAACAGTTTCTGATGAGGTGAAGGCTCTGGACTCCAATGTGCAAACATGCCTTGTCACATGTGATATCTCTGTTGAGGCAGACGTTCAGAGAATGGTGGACGAGGCAGTGAGAGTCTTTGGGGGAATCCATTATGCTGTGAACAATGCCGGAATATCCAGCAAACCAAGGGTCAGAACTCACGAACTTGAAGTCGAGGCGTATGATCGTGTGCAAAATGTCAACCAAAGGGGGCTGTGGCTGTGTGAACGAGCAGAGTTGCGGCAGATGTTAACTCAGGAACCAATTCTACGGTCTCGGTACGTTTATGCTCCGGCTTTCTCAGAGGCATTGAAGAAGACTTACAGATTCCAGATCTGGCGCGATCCCTCAGAGAGGCTCAATTGTTAATATTTCCTCGATATTTGGCCGTGTATCGCACGAGAATGTTGGCGTGGTAAGTAATTATCAATAAACCTATACACAAGAACTAATCGATACGTGAAGTATGCCCCGTCAAAGGCTGCAGTGTTGGGCATTTCGCGCACGGATGCTTGTGCTTATGGAAAGGACGGCATTCGTGTCAATTCTGTCTGCCCTGGTTATATCAGAACACCATGTAAGTGGTAGCCCCTCTTAGCAACTGACGGCAACCGATTTTGACAGCAAAAGTGCTTGATCATCAGATCAAGATAGGTACTTATCCCGAGGAAATGATAAAGTTGATTCCCATACAACGTTGGGGTTTTGCAGAAGAAATAGCTGAAGGGGTGGTTTTTCTTGCCAGCGAGAAAGCTAGTTTCATCACTGGAGAAGAGCTATATATCGACGGCGGCTCAGTGATCAAATGTCATGGTTGAAGGCAGTTATACACCACTTTGTCGCTAGGCTCATTCCCTGCATCAAGCCATGGTCGAACAGGGAGCATCTTTGCAGCTCGATATGGAAGATTGTACTCGATACAGCCAAATGATGTTAGCCAAAGGCGCAATAGTATTTAAATTTCTCTCCGATCATTCTAGCTACGGATAACAGTGCTCTTAGTGATTCGATACTATGGCTACCCGTGGGGTGCAATGGTGTCGTCACTTGGAATATACAGCCCATTCAGTCACTAAGAACCGAAGTTCGCAACTCCTACTTGTACTAAATTCTGCTCTGACGTCCATGAGGAACTGCGATAACCAGCTTTCCGAATTGAGTCCCCTTTTTCATATCGTCGAAAAGCCCGTCAATCGCGTTCAAGTCAAAGCCTCTCACAACCCTCGATACCACAGAATTTATCTTCGAACGTTTCACGAACTTCATCATATCTGTAAATTCTTGCCTCGACCCCATCGTAGATCCTTTAACCTCAATATTCTTCAAAACAGCCGACATAGGCAAAGAGATCTTTGGACCTGTCGTCATCCCATAGACCGCAATGGGTCCTCCGTGCTAGCAGATACGCTGTCAGTCATGAATAGCTTTTGGATAGTCGGCTGGTTTCAACTAACCTTTAATAAATTTACAGCTCGATTCACGACATCGTTCCCTGCACCATCGACGATGGCGTCGAAATAGTTCCGATTACTTGGGAGAGTTGATAGCAGCGCCTTGTCCCATTCTTTATCCTTGTAATTCACGCCATCGCGAGCTCCCAGGCTTTTCGCCTGAAGAATCTTCTCCCTTGAGCCACTGGTAACGTATACATTTGCACCCGACGCAACCGCAAATTGCAGAGCCATCAATGCTACGCCGCCGCCAATGCCAGTAATCAAAATGTTTTTGCCAGGCCCGATATTCTGAGGGCCGCATTTAACCATGACAGCGCGCCAGGCAGTCACGCCAGTCAAAGGCAGTGCGGCGGCATGGACATCATCCAGGTGGTCTGGTGCTTCTTCGAGCTGGGTAAAGCTCACTGCAAAATATTCCTGCAGCACTCCTTTAGGCAAGTATTTTGTGCCTCCCAGGATCCTCACGCTTTTCTGGTCCTCTGGGCCTTCCCGTGAGTCTTGCCAGCCTTGTGTAGGGTTGATCACCACTCGTTTCCCTTTCCATGTCGAGTCGACCCCTGGTCCTAATTCTGTCACTGTCCCACATGCATCCGACAGCAGAGGAATTCCAAATGACGTGCCAGGATAGAGATGTTGCCTGATGAAGAGGTCACGGTGATTCAAGGCCGCCGCATGTATCCGGACAACCACCTCACCCGCTTTGGGCAAGGGCTTAGGCAATTCATCAAGGGACAACGGATAGTACACCTTCCCAGGCTTACCATCCACTCGAGCAATGCTGATGGATTGAGGCATCGTTAAATGTCGAGGTCCAGCACAATAATCCAAAATAGAGAGGTCGAGGCATCAAGAAAGTTCCTCAAAGTTGTCGAAAGAAGAGCTTGGTTGCTAGAAATCGTGAACCAGTGAGCTGCTGCCTGGTGCTCGGGCAACCACCAACGCCGCTAGTTGTAGGGAGCCCATTGCAACCACTCATTAGGGTTATACTCACTGCATAAAGACTACTGAAGAACTACGCATACACCATATATTCAGCATGCGGGAAGCGGGAAGCGAAGACCGAATTTTGCGGTCGCCACCGTAAAAAAACTGGGTCTTTTCTGTGGGGAAGGACGGCACAGACGAGCTGTACGGGATGGCGGCCCCAAAGGCGGGGAGAATGGCTACTCCATGCTCGTGATGCTTCTGATAAAAGGCGGCGCTCCCTCCGCCTTCCCGCCACTTCACCTGAATGTCGCCCTTTCCTCGTCGTGCCCGCAACGTGGGCCACGAGGTCGATGGAAGTCTCTACGCCAAGTCGTCAGTAGAATGGCATGCACATATTGTCGCCGCAGGCAGGTCTCTACTTTCAGTGTCCCAAGAGCTTGGTCTTCTGGTTCAGCGAAGCTGACTGTCGCAGAAAACGGCGTTGCGATGGCCGCCGCCCTACATGCGCAGCTTGCCAAACCAGAAATATCACTTGCATCTACCTTGGTGGTTCTGATGCTTCTCAGTTCGTCACCTCTATGGGCATCGGTCCATCTCAATACTAAATCCCAGTAGTTTGTCAGAGCCTAGACGACAAAGAACCAGTTCCGAAATTGACCTGTCTTGTATTAGAGCCATCCAAGATGTGCTTCAAACACACCAAAACGCGCTGAAAAACTCACAGAATGTATCCTTCTTCTCTGATTCGGACAATGATGCTGCCACAAGCCTCGAGAATGCTGCTCGATCGGTTACTGCCAGCGACGGTAATTCCATTAATGCCGTTACTGAGGCTCTTTCGATGCAGCAACCTTCTACTCGTCACATACTGAGTTGGCCTGAAGAATCTGGGAAATCTTTCTACTTGAGAGAAGAAACACCTGACTTACCACCGTTGACAATTCCACCAGCCCACGAGGCCAGTAGTAGTTGTCTTCTCGATCTACCTCAAGTGCGAAATTTGGCTGGGAATTTTCCTGGCGAATTCTTCTTCCGTGTCGAGGCTCATCCTTCGAGGATATTGCAGCATCAGATGACGGATGCTAGCACAGCTGTCCTTCACCATATAACCCGTGATACTGGCGATGAGCTTGTCGACAGGTATTTCGAGGCAGTGAACCCCTTCCATCCCGTTCTCGACCGAAATTCATTTGAGGCACTATACGAGGAAACTATGAAGACATCGCTGCAAAATAACGATGTCTCTGCGGTCATCCTTTTGGTTCTTGCGCTGGGTGCTATCATGAAAGATGCCCCCCAAGGTCAATCAGGGTCGGAAGACACAACACGAAGTCTAGGCTACTACAGTCTTGCGCAGAAAATCCTTCTGTCCTCCTGGGCACATGGTGCAGGCGAGACCTTGTTGTTATCACAAGGATTGTTCCTATGCGCCCTGTATCTCACATATATGGTTCGCCCACTCCTTGCGTGGAGGTTCATATATTTAGCTTCGACCAGTGTTGAACAACTTCTCATTCGGTGAGTACAGGCCACCCTTATCACAAGGAACTAATTCTAAACATATATAGCTCCAGAAACGCCGAGCCCAGCGAACTTCGGTTGCAGCAAATCCTACGACTAAGCTGGTCTTGTTTCATCATTGAGTGGTGCGTATCTGCCATTTGCGATGAACCCTTGTAGAGATCCGGAAAGCTCACACAACTTCTAGTGATGTCCTCGCAGAGTTCCATCAACCACGAAGCGGCATTCAGTTTTTGGCCGATAGAATGCTCTTTCCACGGTGTGGAGACCCTATGGATGCAACGATAGCAAACTTCCTAGCTGAAATCACCGCTCGATCTCTGGTAAACAGAATTCATTATTCTATTAATTTCACAAACAGCATCAAATCCTTCACCAACAGTGTCCTTGGAGAAGCCTCGACATACAACGATCACAGCTCCGCTGCGGTCCTCAGCTCACTTGTCAAGATTTGCAACGAGCTCACCCGCCAACTGGAAACATGGTACGACTCTTTGCCACTCAACATCAAACCAAATCTCGTACCAGACATACCTGGAGAAAACAGTCGCACTTGTTTATTGCGTTGCCGATATTGGTCCTCGATGAACAAGATCCACCGACCTTTTATACTCAAAACCATCTCATCCCCATTAGACCAACAAATACCCGCTGAACTGCTGGAAAAATGTAACAAATGCATAGTTAGTTGCCGGATGTTCCTGAAGTCCGTTGGAGGCTTGTTGGCTGAACGAAGTCCATACGTCTACACCGCGTCTCACGGGTAAGACTTTCCACGTGATGATTCTTGTCAATATCAGTTGAGAATGCAATTCGTCTTTGGAGGCTACCCAATACTAATAGCCAACAGGGCCTTCGCTTCAACATTGATGTTGTCTTTGGCAGCTTTATCGCCTCAGCTCAGAGGCTTTATCCCTGACCTAGAAACCCTCCAGAATTTGACTCTCAACCAGCTACGACCATGGGCAGCCAAAGGCTCCGGCATCGAGAGTGCATATGATATTGTGGATACAATTCGCAAAAAGTTCTTGTACTCTGATGGATTGTGACGCCAAAAGCTCTATACAGATCGTGCCTTCACCTTGGACATTTTCATAGAGACCACAAAGTCTGGCTCTACTTCAGGCTCTTCACCCAAAATGGCTAGTTTCGTGTCATTGATGTTACGCATATGGACACATTCATCAGACGTAAACTCCGCAGGCCGCCTTCGTGTCACACGGGACGTTCAAAAGGTCCAGATTCCTGCCAGCGGGATTCGCTTCGTTGGCTCGGAAAACGCATAGCTTACTCCATATATTGCGAACACAACGTATGTTTGGCTCAGCGTAGTTCTGGGGTGGTAACAGGAGAGAAACATGGCTGCGGCGTTCTCCACGTTCCCCGCCGACCGCTTCCGCCTTCCTTTTGCCTCTGAAGCCGCTTCTCTTGACCACCGATCGGAAAATCGAGCTGCGGCCTACGAAGGCGGCCCTAGACACTCTCGGCAGTCGCTCACGATCAGCCCTGGCTGGTGAAACTTAATTGGTGGAAAATAGACATAATCCGGCAGAGGACTGTGCATCGCTCATGCGGCGGCGGCGGCTTACTGCCGGCGCCGGACTCGACAGTCAAGGCATGTTCTTTTTTCGAGTGCGTAATTTCATGCTCAGCTTCCACAGTGCTGAATATTCGAATAATATCTGTCATTATGTGCGTCAGGATCCGAACATCAATTACAACAGCTTGATTTATTCTTTACAACCATGTTTTGTGGCCGACTGTTCTAGTGATAGAAACACAGAGGCACAGACAGAAGCCTCTCGCCATAATGCCGATCTCCTCGACTTTCGCAGATGTCAATATCCCCAATGTTGACATGTGGTCGTTCATCTTCGAGTCTCCAAAAACGTTTCCAGACTCCCAGGGTAATGAAAACTGGCACCCCTGATTTCGATGTGAGAAGCTTACAAAATGCAGTAATATATAGGTCAGCCGAGAGCCCAGAGCGTTACTATACATATGAGGACGTCAAAAGGTTAGCCACCAGTTTCGGCGAAGGCCTGCGCCGTAAATGGGCCTGGCAATTAGGGGACATTATGGCGATATACGCTCCGAATGATATCGATTTCGCACCGGTAGTCTACGGTGCTTTCTATGCTGGAGGCACTATATCTACAGCCAACCCAGCCTACAACTCCGATGAATTGACCTTTCAACTACAAAACTCTGGTGCCAAGGCTCTGGTCACTACAATAGCATTCCTCCCAACGGCTATTGTCGCCGCCGAAGCCTCAAATATTGCCAAAGATCATATCATCATTCTTGGCCCTGAGCGGTCCAACGGATTCCAGCATTGGCGAGACGTTGGTATTCAATCTGAACATGGGAGACACGGTCGGCAAGCCCTCCAGCCACAAAGGGATCTTGCGTTCCTAGTTTACAGTTCCGGTACAACGGGTCTACCGAAAGGGGTGATGCTAAGTCACTACAATGTAGTTTCCGACTTGTCTCTCATTCAAGGCGCTGTTGGATCTTCGTATAAATCTGGAAAGGACAAAATGATCGGTGTCCTTCCATTCTTCCACATATACGGACTAATTGGTCTGGTGAATCAATGTCTTCAGCGGGGCATCGAAATGGTTGTTGTTCGTTCTTACGAGTTTCGGAGTTTTCTACAGCTCATTCAGCAACATGAAGTCACGTTTGTCTACGTGGCGCCTCCCATTATTGTCCGGCTTGCACACGATAAGCTGGTGGACAATTACGACCTGAGTACCCTTCGTATGATTACCAGTGGTGCTGCGCCTTTGACCATGGAGCTTATTCAAAAAGTGTACAAACGCTTGGGTGTTGGAATCAACCAGGCATACGGCTTATCAGAAACATCTCCGATGACACACACTCAGCCCTGGGACGAATGGTATGATTCCATTGGCAGTGTTGGCAAGTTGTTTCCCAATATGACGGCCAGGTTCATGTCTGCCGACGGAGAAGTGCAACCTGGTAAAGTTGGGGAGCTATGGCTAGCAGGTCCTAACGTGTTTCAGGGGTACTGGAAGAATCAGAAGGAGACCCAGGCCTCCATTGCTGAGCATGCTGGAAAACGATATTTGAAGACGGGTGATGTTGGATTCATGGACGGCAACCAAAATTTTTTTCTTACAGACCGCGTGAAGGACCTGATCAAATACAAGGGGTTCCAAGTAGCCCCTACTGAGCTGGAAGGAAAACTGAGTGATCATCCACTTGTGCAGGACGTTGCCATTATTGGCGTGTTCGACTCGAATCAACATACAGAAGTTCCACGGGCTTATATCGTGCACGCTACTAGGGGAGGCGCTGGATGTCATCCGGTAACGGGCTTGCCAGGAGATGAACAAAGTAAGATTGAGGCAACGGAGATTATGAACTGGTTCTCGAAGAAGGTCGCCAATCACAAGCGCTTAAGAGGAGGGATCAGATTTCTCGACAGTATACCCAAGAGCGCAGCAGGAAAGATCTTGAAGAACGATGTGAAGAGAATCGCTAGGCAAGAGGAGGAATCTCAAACCGCGGCCGATCGATCTGGCATTGCACCACGAGCAAGACTCTGAGTGCACAGCTCACTTCCTTCGGAAAAGGTAGGAATTCGCGGCCACGCGACTATTGACAAAGCGGTTGAGGGGCACATCAATGTTGTGACCTATTCACGCAGACGCGCACTTGTTAAGAGGCCTCGTGAGAAGCTCCAACTAGAAGCACAATGTCCTCAAAGCGTTCAGCATATAGCCATCATTCTTTCTTTTGATACACAATGAAGAAGAAGAACTCATTTTGATCACAAAGATAACAACCACATTGCCTTGTGGCTGCTGCCCCTTTCCACGGCCGTCAACCTTCATTAGCATGCTCACAAGCATTAATCCTTGGCTCAGTGGTATCGCGACGAACAACAGTGATGCAATACTAGGCAGGCTACCATTCGCATACTGCATCTGAGCCTCTTTCGAGGTGGCTGCAGGTTGAGATGGTACTGAATACCATCATATGCCATCAATAACGCAGAGCTGTAGACTCTGGCGTTCATGCGAGCGGTCTTGGCTCTTACTGCGCTTTTTCACATTGTTTGTGCTTGCCAGAGTGGCAGAGGAGCAGGGATGGTGTGTTCCTAACCGACTTCCAACTAAGCGATAGGGTTCAACAGTAGCGGCGGCGGAGGAGGCGGAGGCGGCGTGGAGTCATCATCAGCTACTCCGCACCTGAAACAGGGCCTTGTTGTTGATCGCTGCCCGCCGATTTCACACTCGGGGACTTCGGGTATCTGATCTCCAAGTGAAAGCGCGGTAAATTTGTGGTATCACCCTCACATCCAGTGCGGAGTATAGCCTTGGAACTTGACAGAGTCCTTTCTGATCGCAAACAGATTCGGTTGCAACAAGCCGAGGTTCAACAAGGACGAATAAATATGTTTCGGTCGGATTATTTTGAGTGTCTTGAATTTCTCCTACGCCGCCAGATATCGTATCAATCTTGTATGCATCTGTTGTGAATCATCTTCAGACCAGGACTATCAAGTAAAATGCAGCCAGATTTACTTTACCAGCCACCTTCGACTTCCTTCTTGAAACTTTCCTATCCTGCCCCTCATGTCGTTCTAGTCACTATGTCACGACCCGAGAAGTTGAATTGCACGACAGGAGCCAATATTGTTGAAATGACCGAAGTATTCCGTTGGATTGATGACGAACCTTGGATTCGCGTTTCAATTCTCACCGGTGCTGGACGAGCTTTCTCAACGGGAGCCGACCTAAAAGAGTGGCAGGCCAAGACTAGCGCACCAAATTCGAGACCTGGCGCAGGTCCAGGCGATGTCCCCGGTGCCTTGCCAGTTTCGAACCGACTGGGGAAGAAGCCCGTTATCGCCGCCGTTAATGGCTTAGCATTGGGAGGCGGATTTGAAAACGTGATCAATTGTGACATCGTTGTCGCAGCGGACACTGCATCCTTTGGCCTGGTGGAGGTAAAACGAGGGGTAGCAGCTTATGCCGGAGCTCTCCCGCGACTCATACGAACTATTGGTCTACAAAGAGCTAGCGAGTTGGCCTTGACAGGAGAATATATCACCCCAGAGCAGGCCGAGAGATGGGGACTGGTAAACAGGATTGTGCCCCATGCGCGTGTTGTCGAAGAAGCCATCAGGTTTGCCAAAATGATCGCAGATAACAGCCCTGACTCGGTGATTTGTACGCGCGCAGGTTTAAGGCAAGGTTGGGAAACAGCTAGTGTCGTCGAGGCCACCGCTGTTACGAGCAGAAGAGAATGGGCAGATCTGCAAAGGGCGGACAACATCAAAGAAGGTTTAAAGGCCTTCAGAGAAAAGAGACCGGCTGTCTGGACTGCTGCAAAACTGTAAGAACCATTCAAATAGTAAATATCAATGAAGAGACAAGCGTTCGTCTATATTTCTATTGCATCACGCCCATCTATGTGTACTCCAGGTCTTAAGGCATCGAACAGTTCAATCACTACTTCTCTTAATTGTTAGCAGGCATGAATGAGAACGGCGAACTCTTCACAAAATTCGATGTCATATCGCCGACTCGGTCAGTCCAATTGAGGCCGACCAATGACAACTTCATCGTCTGACCTTTTTGGCTCAGATCTAGTTTTGTCATATCAACCCAGAAAAACTTGCCGTCTGTGGCACTTTCGTAATAATATACCAGTTCCTTTGTGTCAGCGTAGGTTCTCCATAGAGTTGGTGTAATGTTAGGTGTATTGATATTGATAGGCTCCATAGGCACCGATACAGCTCTGATCATGCCAGCAGTAGTGGCCAGCCCAGACACCAAGTCGGTTGCACCTGGAGCAACGCTCACATAATGAGACAGACGTGCGAAGCGGTCGGCCGGTCGATCAGTTCCGGGAAGTGAATAGTTTGAAATGGTCGACCAGTATGCATTGATTGCGAGCTGCTGGTCGAAATTGGGCTCGTTGGTCATAACATTATACTCGGTGCCTTGATGCACAACCAGCTTGCCATTCAGCCATTCCAGGATCAAATTGTCGCCGGTCGCATCGGACAGAGAGACATGCATCAATGACGGCACCCCCGGAATAAGATCCTTGGTGCGGACTTGGAACTTCGGCTGCCCATTTTGGTTGAAAAGATCATCAGCAGCCTCTGCCACGGTGCTGTACAGATCGAGAAAATACTGGGGCCAGATTGCTAGAGACATGGCTGGAACCGAGGAATTTCTGGGGCCATAATCGCCATCAGCAAGGTAGAGCAGGTTTGCGACTAATCCCTGGTCGTTTATGCCATCGCATGTGGACAAGTCGTAGGCTGTAGTGATGACAGAGCCGTATTTGCTCGTCCAGTTCAAGGAGTTTCCACCTGCAGATCCATTCCGCTGGAGACCTGCGGGAAATGCAAAGATGCTCGAGTTGGTCGGGGTCAGCCAATCCATGGAACGACCAACGATAGTACGGTTGCCATCTTGAGGTCCAGTGTTATATGTCACGCGCGAGCAAGCTAGCGTCGGCGTGACGAGAAGGGGCACAAGAGAACAAAGTGTGATAAGATTCTTCGACCACATGTTGGGCATTGTATCGGACGAGATATATTCTCTGAACAATTGGCGACCTACAGCATGCAGAAAAAGATATGTACATATATCACATCATAGGTTCCTTGAACGCATGACTCGGCCTCTAGATGGGGAAATACGATACTTCGCAGTTAGGATTAGGAGTTCGCAGACACATGTCTCACTATCGAGGTTTACGTTGCATGTATGATAGAAAAAAACGTTCTATGACACCTTGTGAGAAAGCTTTTTTGGGATTTATTGATTCACATACGATACGCCAACCCGTGTATTTCGGGCGTTGATTGTAGACCTAGTATGTGCCCAGTGTGGACCTTCTACGTTGTCCGATTGGTGTGCCCACGCCTCCATGAGATCCGGGCTATGCCATGTTCAGCATAGTATACGATGGAGACATGACTGCTTTTGGATTCATGGCAGATCAAGGAACTTAACAAGGAGGCTAGAAGAATCAAGACTGCCACCTTGAGGCTTGGCCAGATGAAAGAGCTGTCTAACCGGAGAATGTCAGTCAATGATATGTTTGAAAAATGTAGCCTCCAAGAGACTTCGCATGTGAAGGATAAAACTTACACTCAGGGGGCGTCCAAAAGAGATCAAAGCTCGGCCGTCGCCGGTACGACTGGACGTTCTAGATGCGAACACGACCGTGCGATCCTCCAGCACAGACCATTACTCATGTGCCCAATCTCAATATATTTCACAACATCTGGCCTTTAACGGGGCTATCGAACTATATCGAACCGTTTCCTACAAGCCACAATGCTTCATGGCCTAAAGTGCATAATGAGCTTTTAAGTGAGCAATCTGCAGCTCGACGAAACCTTCTGCACTCTGTTGGGCACGGACTGTGTTCCGAGTTCGTTTACTGTACAATCCTGGCGTGGCCTTTGGAGTATTGTCGGCCACAAACATGTTCTTTCCCTTGATATGTTCCACCAGCATGTCCTTGGGACAAGAGCAGAAGCGATCCTAGGGTGTCGAGAAACTCACATAAAGTAATTCTACTGACCCTGAAGATGCACAGCCTTGCAGTCTTGGCCTTATTTTTGGCCGGACCATCAGCTTCACTCTGCTGGGCAGTTGGGAAAGGGCTGCCCATAATCGATCTGGAATACGCCGTTCATCAAGCGACTGTTGATGTAAGCCATGGCCTCCGTTCTGTATTTTGACAACAACACTGATTACGAAGAAGATAGCTGGAGAATACTACAACTTCTCTAATATACGCTATGGAGCGGACGTTAGCGGCGCATCCAGGTTTAAAGCACCGGAGCCTCCAAGCACCGTGAATCGCACATTGAATGATGGACAGTCGGTCACAAGGTGCCCTCAAACACATCCATTTTGGCTTTATGATGCGACAAAGATCGCCCAAGGAGTCCCAGCGTCCGAATTGGAACCACCATATTTTAATATCTCTGATATTCCCCCCATGAGCTCCGAAGAAACCGAAGATTGTCTCTTCTTGGATGTTATGGTCCCGACCAGGATATTTGACTCGCAAACCCGAAATCGACCATCGAGCTGGGAGGCATCACAAGCCTCTTGTACAGGTGCACCGGTTTTGGTATGGATTGATGGCGGGGGCTTTTCTGCAGGCTACAAACACGAGCAGATACCAACTGGGCTTATTGAAAGGTCTCTATCAGTGGATGGCAATGGCATGATATTTGTTGCTATGAACTATCGGGTTGGATTATTCGTAAGTACTTGGTCTAATGTCTTGCTTAATCACGGGCGCGAAGAGAGTCTGATTCGAATCTTAGGGTTTCCTCCCTGCCGGTATCGCTGGTGAGGGTGTTTCCAATGCTGGACTACTCGACCAGCGCCTAGCCTTGGAATGGGTCCAGAAATATATTCATCTGTTTGGTGGTGATCCGTCACGAGTAACCATCATGGGCGAATCAGCTGGCGGCGGCTCGGTATTTCACCAAATCACCGCATTTGGTGGTAAACAGGACTTTCCTTTTCAGCAAGCAATTTTACAGAGCCCAGGGTGGCAGCCCAACGGAGATCCAGGGACACAGAAAATGCTGATTGAATATGCCTTGACAAATGCATCCCTTCTGACCAACAAGAGCTTACAAACCGTGGAAGATCTCCGTGGCCTATCTTTCAAACAGTTGGCTCTCGTCAATAGTGTCATTGTCGGACGCTCTTCATACGGGATTTATACGTTTGGCCCGGTCGTGGATGGTTCGTTCGTGCCAGATATGCCAGGTAAGCTGGTCGCAGAAGGGCGGTTCGCGACCTCTTTAAAGGCTATCATGATGGGCACGAACTTCAATGAGGGGGTACTGTTCAATTCCCCCTTCTTAACCAGTGACCAGGAATATCGCCACAATGTTCGTGCATTCTTTCCCAACAGTAATGACGAAGTTGTCGACTATATTGCGACGACCATGTATCCCAATGACCTGTCGGGAAAATACAACTACACAACACAGCCACTTCGAGCTGCCCTCACCACGGCAGAAGGTTGTTTCCTCTGTAATACGCGATACTTAGCAGAAGCCTTGCATGGTATCGTGTCGACCAACATATTCAAATACTTGTTCGCCGTTCCGCCGGCAATTCATGCTGACGATCTGGGCTACTCTTTCTACAATGGCAATGGCACCACCACCTGGGAGGGGTACCCTGTCAACGCAGAGGTTGCTTTTACGCTCCAAGACTATATTGCCAGCTTCGTTATGAGTGGATCACCAAACATCGGCAATGCCATACACAAAACCCCTTGGTTTCCCGCGTATGGGACAAATGCATCAGTATTGACCTTGAATGAAACCGGACTTGGTGCGCTGCTTGTTGATCCACAGGCAAACCAAAGGTGTGATTGGTGGCAGAAAGTACTCTACGTCTGAAGTATTGCTACAGCTACATGAGCTTCGTCAACGTGCTTTCGAATAGACAGAGGACGAGAGAATAGAAGAGAGATTAGGATGGAAATAGTATATAACAGCACTGAATATCCCTTCCGTATCCCAGGACAACTCCTTTTCAATTCAGCATAGTCATCGAACAACAAAAGCATCAACTATAGCAGGACAGGAATTGTGATCATCAAGATGCTTGTATGAGAGTGTATATGATTTGATTTGCTAGCAGCAATAATCTTGGCAATTAATTATTAGGCTTGACCACGTTTGAAGGAAGGAAAAGCAAGAAGAAGAGAAGAAGAGCAGAAACACACAGGCCCATCCCACCCGTACAACTCCCTCCCAGCACAGTTCCATCTCGAGGATAGTCATGCTTCAGAACTAGTCTTGTAAAGCTAAGGGCCCAAAGGTCATATGCTCCATATACGCCTATCCAGATTACATATTCTGGGGTGTCAAAGCCTCGGCTAATGTGAGGTTGCCGTCGTGGTTGGTGTCAAAAAGGTTGAATAGTGCCGTTACGTCCTTTGAGAGAGTTGCGTTGTCAATGCCATTCAGCCCTAGTAAAGGCCTCAACACGTTGACCCCGTCGATGACTTCTCCCAGAGTCAAGATACTGTCCTGGTTCGTGTCGAGTGCTTCAAATTTGTCTAGCGCGCACTGATTCTCGGTCTGGAAAAGGCCGCAGGTCGAGTCGGCGCGCTGGGCGACGCCGATCCACGGGGCAAGGTCTCTGGCCGATCTTCGAGAGGGAGCTTGTCTGCAACCCCCGTCGCAGTTACAGCAGAAGATGTTGCATGGGCCGTAGGCACAGCACCCCAGATAGTCGGCGTATGTGCCGTCCAAGCATTGCCCTACGTTATCTGGTTTCTCCTGGTCGCAGCATTCGGACGCGACCAGTCCGACTGAAGTGAGCACAAAGGCGAGGATTGAGATACGCATTGCCAAAGTGTAAAGGGCTGATGCTGACGAATAATCTGCAGGAAGGTCGTGCGAAGAGGCTGTGCGACCACGGTCGAAGTCTCTGGATCCGAATGTTGTGCGAGGCTGGTTCAGACTCGGAGCCACTGTTTTTGGGACAAGTCTACGGGTTTTATACCTACAGTAGATAGATAGACATATCTCTTGGGTGCTTTTGTTTCCTCTAAACAGACTTCAATGGATCGAGTTTCCAAAGAAACAGATGCACACTGTGCTCTGTACAAGCATTGGCACGGTCGACTAACGGCTCAGACTGAACGTTGCGTTACTATTCATAGAGTTCAATAGCTTTTAGTTACTCCGCAGGTCTAGAGAAGCAAAAACACTGAAGCTCACATTCTGGCCGTATTGAGGCAGAATATGGAGAGGATCGCGCACTGACCGTTATGCAATCCTCCTCGCCGCCTCCCAGATTCCTCTAGTAAAGACATCAAACAGCCTATTGTATGATACAAAGTGACACGCAATAGACTTCTGTCAGAAAACCTACAGACCTAATTGCGATCTGGCCCTGCCCGAGCAATTGAGTCTTACATGCAGCAAATAATCTTCGAACCTAGGCACCAAGGTTTTTCCAATCATGCCAAAGCAAAATGTTCGAGTCAGTCTGTAGAGAAACCCTTACTAAGAGGGCCTTCACAGGGTCGACCACCCTGGCCCTATGATGCATGCAGATGTGTCTGGGAATCCGTACCTTTCTAGCTATGCTGAAAACGGACACTAAGCTCCTCTAAATTCGAGAGCATAAGCACTTCTTAGTCGGAATTCGGAAATACCCGAAGGGATGAGCAGGCCATTAAATAAGCTGCATGTGTCAATCAAAAATGAAACTTTCACAATGATCTGCTAAACGCTTGCATACGCCAAATATAACATGAGCAAAATGTGAAGTGAGCGATGCCGAGCTAGCGATAATATCTTCAGTGATGTAAGGTGTTTGTGAGTACTACAAGAGACCAGACCTGTAGGCGTGCATTCGCGCCTTGTCTGCGTAGAAAGAAGCCAAGCCGGCTGTCGCAAGAACGTTTGGTTGTATGACTGGACGAAATCTGAGGCCGAAGCCTACTGCTTGTTATATTCCGCTCAGAGGTTTATAATAGCCCAAGCGAATCTCTCTATCATGATGGGACTTCGTGTAACGATGTTGGGGATAAAGGACAAGTAAATAGCCGCTGTGCATGATTGACACTGGGCATCACAATCCATAACATAACTATTGCGGCTAACTAACTCCAGGGGGTGAACTGAACTTGCCATCCATCGTATCTCATTTCATGGAAATCTCCTGGTTGATGCCCATCTTAATGTTCGTGTCAATGCCCATTCGCGAACCCATTCAAAGCCTCGGCCTGCGCTCCTTTGACATAATCAATCCTGAAACTATACGTGTCATCATAATGCATGGCCCAATACTTATCCCATACCTTCTTAGTTACAGAACCCAGTCCGCCTCCCTTGATAGCTGCCCCATCAAGCATCGTGATGGGCATAACCCCTCCAGCCGTAGTCGACATGAACACTTCGTCTGCCTCGTATGCCAAAGAGACAGGAACAACCTCAACACGGACTTCGATCCCAAGCATTCTTGCCGCGTCAATCACACTCTTCCGTGTCACTCCTTCCAGACATCCCCGGTCCGGCGTATAGATCACCCCATTCTTGACGAAGAGGACATTGAACCCCGATCCTTCGGTGAGATTACTATCTCCGTCCGTCAGGAATGGATAATCCGCACCACGGTCGCGTGCCTCAAACATCCCACGCACGAGGTCGCCCCATTGCAAATTCTTGATGGTCGGATCGATTGCGCCGGGCGGGACTCGGCGCACCGTACGGGCCACGATCGCGCTCCCGCCTGTGAGCTGCATCTCGGGCTCCATGACCCACACGTAGGGCTGAATGAAAAGGTATAGGTTGTTCTGTAGGACTTCGCCCGCCTTAGCCTCTCGAACGGCTTTGAGACCGCGCGTTACGATGAGTTCGACGAATGCGTCGCGGATCCCGGACTTGGCGACCATCTGTACGAGAATCCGGCGGATCTCATCTCGTGGAATGGGGAACCGAAGACGCATCTTGTTGCAGCTCGCCTCGAGACGGGTAAGATGGTCTTCCAAACGGAAGAATCGGCCATCCCAGACCGATGGAACGTCGTAAGTCAGGTCGCTGTGCATGAAGCCTTGGTCGATGAGAGGGATACGGGCTTCGGAGAGAGGAACCAGCTCTCCTTCGACCCAGGCAATGCCTCGTGAGAAGCGGTTGGTTTTGAAGGTTGATTCAAGGGTTGCTTTGCGTTCGTTGTATGCCGCGAAAATCTTCTCCATTGTGGCCATGTTGAATTCGAGTAGGCTTTCAACCTGTTAAGTGGGCTCAGGATATATGTACGGTGTTGGACAGAGGATAAAGTTCAGATCTGAAGTGTACTCTGGTATCTAGCTAGTGGCTGTCTCGAGGGTTGAGAGTTTGAGGAATGCCTTCCAACGTGTCGAGAAATCGTAGGGATTTAAATGCATTTTGGACACTGGTTAGAACAATGAGTACCTTGCACTTCGTACACTGACTGGCTATGAGATCTGCACTCTCGATGAAACAGAAGAAGGTTCCCCCAGTTGCTTGTTTGGGCAATGTTAAGGAGGCAGAACGAGCTGTATGAGTCCAAATGTCGTTGACAACAAATCAGCACTGCAAGCGGTGCTGAAACTCACCTTCCTAAAAGGGTATTTTTTATTGCTCAAATTCCCAACCCGTGGGAAACACTAGTATGGCCCATCGCGAAGACAGGCCAGACTTGGTGAGCGTTTGACGGAGGGAGACCAGCCAGCCATGTCTCAGGCTTTGGGGAAAGTCATACCACTTGACAACTCTTTCAACTAAATAGATTACCTATTTGTCGTCTGAGGGTGAGCTGGTTGGCATTTCTCTCAGCTTTCCGACGGTAAACAAAAACTTTCATTCGCCAAGTCTCAATCATCGTTGCTCGGAGATCGGCGACTTGGATATAAAGACTTCGTTATCGACGACAGCCTGATCAAGACATCACTACTGCTGCCTCTAGATCTAACTGTTCGAAAGTGCTGGGCTCTAGTAAGGACGCAGACACAGGATGGCGCAAAAGAATGTGGTTGTGGTTGGGTAGGTCGTTGATGACACTGGTTTAACTACATCTAACTTGTTTGCTGTAGTGCCGGAGTGGCTGGATTGACTACGGCGCTTCTTCTGTCGAGAAAGCCTGGCTATAACATTGTGGTAGCTGCGAAGCACATGCCAGGCGACTACGATATCGAATATGCTTCACCCTGGGCTGGAGCGAATTACATGCCGTAAGTGGTCACCGATATGGATTCCGGTGTGTCCCTAACCTGTCGGTAGAGTTTCGATTCGCGGTACCGACGCTGCAGAATGGGATAGGGCAACTTGGGGGCCACTGGAGGATCTGGCACAGAACCACCCTGATGCTGGGGTGCATTTCCAAGGTATGGAACTCTTGCTGTTGATTAAGGATGCTCGGAGCTAAGATTTCCCTGCAGAATGCGAGATCTACAGCCGCAGCAAAGATCTAGGCACAGCAACTGCCACCTGGTTTGCAGAACTGCTTTCTCCTAATCCGTGGTTCAAGGACGTGGTCCCCAATGTATGTGCTAGCCCTAGAGCTCCCATGAGATGAAAATTCGTACTCAAGCCTCTCTCCCACACTATAGTTCCGAGTACTCCCGAGAAAAGCCCTTCCTCCCGGAGTCGACAGTGGGACGGTGTTCACATCGGTGTGCATCAACACAGCGATATACTTGCCCTGGCTGGTCTCGCAATGCCTCAAGAACGGAGTGATCTTCAAACGAGCAGTCTTCAAACACATTTCACATGCAGCTTCGCAAGGAGTTCACCCATCGAAGAAAGTTGACCTCGTGATCAACTGTACTGGCCTGATGGCGTGCAAGTTAGGGGGCGTCGAGGATAAATCCGTGGTGCCCGCTCGGGGACAGATCGTCGTCGTACGCAATGACGCCGGGAAAATGATCGATATTTCCGGCACAGACGATGGAGAGGATGAAGCTGGGTACATGATGACTCGTGCAGCAGGGGGAGGAACCATACTTGGTGGATGCTATCAAAAGGGCAACTGGGATTCTCAAGTCGACCCAAATCTTGCTGTGCGAATCATGAAGCGAGCGGTCGAATTGAATCCTGCCTTGACTGGAGGAAAAGGCATCGAGCACCTCGATATTGTGAGGCATGGAGTGGGATTAAGACCTGTAAGAGAGGGAGGCACGAGGATCGAGAAGGAAAAGATTGATGGTACTTGGGTGGTGCATAACTACGGCGCAGGAGGTGCAGGCGTAAGTTATTTGTTCTTTTCACATATCGAAATGAAAACACTGACTGATCATCTAGTACCAATCGTCCTACGGATGTGCCGAGGCGGCGGTCAAGCTGGTTGAAGAGGCATTGCAGCCTCGACCACGGTTATAGTGCTGGCTAGGCGAAATCGAGTGATCATGTCTCGACTTGAGACAATAAGTGATAGACGTCTGCTGCTATACAGCTTGGCTCAAGGCGACACAGTCGTGTCAACAGCAGAAACGGAGAGCTTGTGGCCAGACCGTAAACGAGCGTAATAACCCTTAGCCTTTTCCCCATATTCAGTAGAAGGTTAGTTGAGGACGCCTATAATTTAGTATCATGGGGATGATGCACTCCTGGGTAGTAAGCCCACCCCGATCCCCGGGCCGGCCAACTGATAAGGCCTGGGGCGGGGGTGACCTCGCTACTAGCACAGCCTAGTGAGCCTTGGGTAGACTCCCCTCACGAGCCCTTGTGCCCGCTAATCAATCCCACTACACCTCAAATTATCAGCATCTGGATTCATCACTTCTTCCACTATCACAAACCAAGGAATGGTTCACTCCAGCAGCGTCCGTCTTGCTAAAAGGACAACATAACCCCTCATCTACATGCATGGCGCCTTCAACCACGAGAATTACCGTCAACAGCGAGGGCCGAAGAACGAATTCTCTTGGATTCGCAAAACATGATTGTCATACATGTTCGGCTCAGAGGAGACCATGCGACCGCCAGCGTCCACGGTGTGGACCCTGCCTTTCTAATCGCCAGAGGTGTGGTGGTTTTGCTACGAACCTGGTCTGGAAAGATGTCGAAATTCCCCCGTCTGCATCGGATCCAGTTTTGAGCACCGGGTTTGGTATTTTCAGCTCAAATTCAACGGTTCGCCAAAATGAACCTACAAAGAGGAACAATCGTGGCTTCAAATTCGTCAAAGGCCGAATGAAGAGAAAACGGAAACCAAAAGAGCCTCTTTCAGAATCGAACTCACTCCCGATTGCGAGCGAGTGTGAGGAACTTGACTTGATCGGCCAAAACGAACTGCCAGAGATACATCCATCGGCATGGCTCGCGACCCCAACAACAGCATCTAATTTATCTTTTTCGGTAGAAGCAGGCGATGAATTGAACCTTTCAGACTGCATGGGTCAATCCTTTGGAAGTGGTATGACCGACGTCTCTCATGGCCTATCTGTTGCTAACCCCCATTGGTTGTCAGGACCCGATGTGTTCTATGGTACAACAAGCGACAGTTCTTGGTCGGATTCGCCACCTTCGCCGAATGCCATGTCTCCATTACCTGCCATGCTGTCCTCAATCACAAATGCTGTCGATACATTCCACCCCTCAATGTTGGGAAACTCCGAATCCTTCCTAGGAGGCCCCCTTGCAACAAGCTTTAGCCCACGCCCACTCGGTCATTCCACGTCCTCGGTAATAGACGAAGATGACCAAGATATCACTGGCGAACGATATCATCTTACAGTTGGAGTTCTCCACCAAGATACTGCGCATAAATATGGACCAATACTCGAAATGTGTAAGTCTTTCGAAGCGGAATTGCGCTTACGATTCGCAATTGACAATCCGCAGACAATGAAGAATTCTCCATGTTCCCTCTGACCATGGACTGCCCGATCAATCCATTCCGTGTCCGCAAAATTCGTGCAGGAGAGTCCGACTTCCTTCTACACGCCATAGTGGCAATGGCTTCACAACATCTTGCGAAACAAACCAATCGAGCAGACCTGACCCTCCAAGTATATGATCACCGTTCAACGGCTCTCCGTCTGTTTGCCCAAGCTCTTTGCCAGTCGGACCCATTCACCCTTCTAGACGGACTTCTCTTGATCATAAGTCTTGACGTAAGGAACACTCCTATGAAGTTTTCTTCTCCGTGCTGACCCTGAAAGCTCACCCAATCTGCCCTCGGCACATGGGGCATTCACCTGGATGGGGCTCGAAGACTCCTCGAGGCTGCCAACGCGCTGAAGATCAGCCAGAAAAGCGCTCGCATACGGGCGCAAATTGCATTCCTGGTTTGGTAATAGGCTTCTCGTCAGATACGTTCAAGTGGCGATGTTCAAGACCACTAACATTCATCACAGGTGGGACGTCACCCTCGCCTTTATATCTCGAGAAGACTTGCGTCTTCCACTGTCATACCTCGATATGTTGGTGGAACATGGTGACAGTCCAGACTGGTCATTCTTTGCACTGAATGGGTGCCCGATCGAACTCGTGGTCGCCATGGCCAAACTTGCCAAACTGGCATCGATCTATGAAAAGACTCAACAGATGCAATGGACAATATTTGACAGGACGCCCGTGGGCCAGGTCATCACCGAGGTCAAAGATTTTGTCAACAGGGAAGATGCTACTCTGACAGATGTCGGGCTCGCAGAAGATGATCTCGATGCAAAGCGGGATCGATTTCATTGTATCGAAGCCTGGAGACATGCCATCCTTCTCTACACCTATCGGGTATTCGACCGACCCCAAGACTCGAAGGCCCTTCGAGTGATCAATCACTTGACCCGTGTCACTCTTGATCATGTTCGATGCATCTCTCGGAGATCGTTCATTCAGAAACAAGTCCTCCTTCCTGTATTTTTGGCTGGGTCAGAGGTCAGCCACGAGCAAGATCGTGCATTCATACGAGAATACTGCAAACATTGGAGTGCTGCCGCCAGATTCTACATGTTTGAGTCTACCAGATTCCTTTTGGAAGACATCTGGGAAGACTGGGATTCATCAACGAGAGAATCGTATTGGTGGGGGCTCAAAGTCGGTCTCAGCAATGGTTACGGCGGAAGAGACGAAAGTAGTGAGATGCCTCTGCAGGTCCTCTTAGGCTAGACTGGTAGACCGGAATTGGGTCGAAGTTGCCTCCGGCTTGGGCTTCTCCAGTGCGCCACGCAGGTAGAAAGCGTGGGTCTTTCGCGGGGGATTTCAAATATTACCCTTTCAAGAAACCGAGTCTGGTGTTCCAAGTGACAATTGGCTGTCTTTGGGTTTTGTGGATTCGTGCCTAGCCAACGGTCTAAGAGCACTTTGGACTCTGCCTCGCCTTCCTATGTGGGCAAATTTCCCCATTCTTTTGACCTTCTTCCTCGAGCGTTCTCTCCTGTGGTACTTGCGATGATTATTTATCATGCGACACCACTAGTCTTATCATACGGCTTGTGAGGCTGCCTCCGACTTATCACACTGATGAACCTAAGAGCTGATGCATTCCCCGTTATGGATGCTGTCGATATCTTTCAGCCATGTACATCTCCAGTGCCAGAAAATATTACCCAGTTTAGTATTGCAGTCACCCGGCACGCCAACCTCATGAACGTCGCTTCGCCGAGGTACTGACCTCGCGCGATATATATCTTGGTTCCCAACCTCGATCCACGTCGTGCGACGGAAAGTTTGTTCACAAACAACAAAGGTCGACACAATACAGCAATCCATAACAACAAAAGCCCCTTGTACTGGGACCTATCACGATTCTACTACCACCTATCATGGATCACGAGATCACAAACGCCGACGTTCCCGTCGCCCGTATGGATGACCTCGAGCTTGAGGCAGCGGGGTACAAGAGGGCCATGCCACGACAGTTCTCTCTGTGGTCTCTTGGTGCCCTTTCCTTCACCCTGACTTGCACCTGGCTTGGAGCTGGGTCATCAATCGGAATAAGTTTGACGGAAGCCTCCTCTGCTGGAACATTGTGGTCGCTACCCGTAGCCGGCTGCATGACCATGGTGGTCGCCGCGGGAATGGCAGAGCTGGCTTCGGCATATCCTGTTGCTGGCGCGCAATACTACTGGTCCTTCATGGTGGCCAGCGACAAGTACAAGCCATTTGCATCGTTCCTGTAAGCTTACAGGCTCGCACCCATCCAAGATGTCCCTTCTCTAACACCTGATATCTATAGCAACGGATGGATCAGTATCATGGGCTGGTGGCTTGGAGCTGCTTCGGTCGCCAACTTTGTAGCGTCGATGATTCTGGCAATCGTGACTGTTTGGTATCCCAACTATACTCCACAGCATTGGCAACAATACCTGATATATGTTGGACTCACTTGGCTGGCAGTCGCCATCAACGTGTTCGGATCGGGTTTCTTACCACTCTTCAACAAGATGATATTTGTGTTGGCCGTGGTGACCCTCACGTCTACGATGATCACATTGTTCGTCGTCGCCCGCAACAACCACGCCTCGGGGTCCTGGATCTTTTCCGACCACACCAACAGTACCGGCTGGTCTAGTGATGGGTGGGCCTTCATGCTTGCGATTGGGAACGCTGTTTACAGCTATCTCGGGTCTGACTGCGGTGCACATTTGGCAGAGGAGATCGACAATCCATCTAAGAATGTGCCCAGAGTCATCTTGTATCCTCTTGCGATGGGATTGTTGACTGCCTTTCCCTTCACTGCGGCGCTCATGTACTCCATCACCGACATCAAAGCCGTTCTTGACACCGTCACTGGATTGCCCTTGGTCGAAATTTATTACCAAGGTACCGGGTCTTATGCGGCAGCCTCTGTCCTCATGGCCATCTTTGCATTCTGCTTCTTTGCAAATCTTGTGGCTAATGGTGAGTCCGCAGCATTGTTGGTTTTCGTCTTGTCCAGAAGTTGACTTGAGTATTAGCAACAACATGCTCACGAACTCTCTGGGCTGTGTCTCGAGACAACACTTTTCCTTATTCGCACATATGGGCGCATGTGAGTCCCAGGTTCAAGATGCCTCTCAACGCCATGGTACTTTCTGGAACCTGCATTTCGGTCAGTTCTCATCTTGATTCTTCCCGTAGGAATACTAAACTAATCTTCATGTCGCGTACAGATCTACGGCGTCATTTTCATTGGTTCATCGACTGCGTTTGCCGCCATGGTCAGTGCTGCAGTCATCTTCCAGCAGACCTCCTGTATCATCCCACAAGCCATCCTTCTCTACAGAGGTCGTGACAAGGTTTTGCCTGAGCGATACTTCAATCTCGGAAGACTTGGGCCGTATGTCAACGCTCTGGCCGTTGCTTGGGTGTGCTTTTTGAACGTCCTATACTGTTTCCCTACGACCATGCCCGTGACGCCACAGAACATGAGCTACGTGTCGGTGGTGACAGTGGGTTTGGTTAGCTTTGTGGTGATTCTGTGGTTCACTACCAAGCGAGGAGTCTTTACCGGTCCACATATAGATTTTGACTTGCTCAACCAAAGACGGAATGAAGCGCTTCACACTGGTGTTTATATCATTGACGCAAACAATGCCGACGGAGTTGATTCGAAGGACGAGGGCCAGGACAGAAAAAGCGACTTTTATGTCTCTTCATGACTTGGAGAGAGGCCGGTATGGGGTGCTCAGGTAGTAAAAACATATCTGTGAAATTGTCGACATATATGCGAATGATGGTATGCACGTTGTTATCCGGATCGAGATAGTCATCCGGAACCAAATCCAACGAGTCAAAATCTTCCAGTCGGATTGAACATGGTCTGCCACAGTGCAAGTTAACGAATGTCTCGGCATGAAAGAGTTTCCACCACATGCGTCGATATCGCCGACGGTCCCAGGCTGGCATAGGCAGAGATACCAGAGGGGTCAGCTTCCCGTAAGCACACAGTACCAGATGCAATGCGTGTTGCCTATCCTTTCCATGGCCACACAATACAGCTCATTTCTTCCGCATCTTCTTGGTGCCATGTCATTAGCAAGGCAGCCTGAACTTTCCCTGTCCAGCAGCGTGAGATGATTTCATAGGTCACGGATGGTCTAGTATCTCGTATTGAAACTAGATTTAATTAATCATATCTATCAAGCAGTCATAAACGTGTAACAGTTCATGTGGATGTATCTGAAAACGTGGATTGGGCTGTGCATTCACCGGGACAGCTCACAAGAGCAGAGAGAGAACAAAGCACTAGATTGGCAACTTTGCCGAAAAAGCAGATAAAGCGCAGAGACACGTTGGTTGTGACTTGTTGACACCCCGGAAAGAGGACAGTGTTTGAAGCCCATACATCCGGGTGTCCAGTTCGAACCTGGACTCGAAGTAAGTCTACAAAACTGTGGATGCGATATTGGCTGCGGAAAGGCCAGAACGCTCCTAAGCCTCCGGGCATTCTGAGATAGTGTCCAGGCTACAGGTGTGGAATAATGGCCAGATCGTATCTGATACCGGTCTTGCTGCCCTCTATTCTGATGTGTTCTATCTTAGGTTTTCCTCCCCTACCACCTTTAGCTCACTGGAACTCTGAGAACAAGTCGCTGTTCACGCGACAGACGTTCACTTGCGCGAAACGCTGTTGACCTCGTTGAAAAAGCACCCAATCGACCATTGAATCTATTCTCCGACCTATGCAAGCGCGAGAACAAGCTTCTGCAAACATGGAAGCTCGGAGGATAGCATGTCAAAGGGAATAAGCCACCATAAGAGACTGCAATGGCAAGCCGAACGTGTGCTTGATTGATAAGAGATCACAAAATGGGAAAGATTTCTGGCCCGAACTGTTTTACACCAACCCCAAATATGGACGATCTGGATGTGAGAGACTTTGCTATGGAGGGCGCACACAGAATCAGTCTACAACTCACGGACCGAACCTGTATCGGTAGCTATAGCTACCCTTCCTGTCTATTCTTTCCCACCAACCTGCTCACCAACGCGAATTGGGTTCCGCTTGTTCCGCAATACGTATACAGGGCCTCGAGGAACAAGATGACTTACGCGTCCGTCTCCGGCTGTGATCCAAACCTGTCAAACGGCGTGCAAAATACAAGATGCATGCATGGTATGATGAATTGAACCATCTATCTTTTATATCAGGATGCGCGCAATGCGCAAATATATAGAGGCAATTGCTCTTGTTGTGAATTGCATTGCGCTCCGATCAATGCTTGCCAATACAGCCCTGTTGAAGGCCTGTATCGTCGTTATTACCCCGGGGTCCAATATCCACAGGGCAGAAAAAACAAGTTTGTCAACAAGTCGGATGAGTGTGGGCGAACGGAGGTTCTGTCTTCGCAGGTAAGACGCACAAAATAAACCGACACCGTTTAAGAGAATCCAGATCATGTTATGGTCGGCGAGGACGGCATGATGGCGACCCGGGGCAGGCTGTCTAGGGCGTCCCGGTTGATGTCGTCGACCTTGGGATAACCAGAACATTCCTGTAGTATGTCGAACTCGGCCAGGAGCGCGCGGATAACGTGGTCGACACCAGTCTCTCCTGCAATTCCGAGACCCCAAACCTAAATGGGTATCAGCGCTTATCTTCTTGAAAGCGACGACGACATGGATCATACTTACCCAGAGCCTGCCGATGAAAACGAACTTTGCACCAAGTGCCAGTGCCTTGAAAACATCCGCAGCAGTGCGGACCCCCGAGTCGTACATGACAACGATCTTGTCTCCTACAGCGTCGACGATCTTCTCCAACGCGTCAAGACTAGCAATGGCTCCGTCGACCTGTCTTCCAGCGTGGTTACTTACGACAATACCGTCGACCCCTAGCTCGACGGCCTTCTTGGCATCGGCGACGCTCTGTATGCCTTTGAGGCAGAATGGTTTCCCTCCCGAAATACTCCGCCAGTGCTTCATGAGCCAGGGCATCTTGGCCCACGTATGAGAGTGCCCATGCCAGATATTCTCATCCATCCACTTGGCACCAGCTTTCTTGGGTTCCTTGTCCGGATCAATGCCTGCCTCTTTGAGGCGCTGTAGAAAAACCGAGTCATTCAACCCAATGTCCCCAACGGCATGCTCGTGGTAGAATGCATAATTGCCCATGTCAACATCGTTATGCCGCCACGCCAATTGCCATGTGTCGGTGGTAAGCATGAGTGCTTGGAAACCACTGGCGTGTGCTCTTCGGAGCATCGAGAGGGCTTGCTCATCGTCAGGGCTCTGATAGAGCTGGAAGAAACGGATTCCTTGGCCGTTGGCTTCTCCCACATCTTCGATGCTGTAGCTCCCTGCCGAAGAAAGGCAGTAGAGGAGATTAAGGTCGCGCGCGACATGTGCCACGCTGATCTCGCCTGTGGGGTGGTAGATTCGGTTGATGCCGATAGGAGCAAACCCAATTGGCGCGGCAAGCTTGTGTCCAAACAGCGTTGTGGCCGAATCGCGTGCATTGGTGTCGATAAGCATTCGAGGGATGATCTGGTGACGGTAGAACGCTGTGCGATTGGCGTAATGGGTCCAGTTGATACCAGCGTTGCATGACGAATAGTACCAGCCGGCCTGTGTAAGCCTTTCCTGTGCCTTGGCTTTCAGCTTATCCGGCTCGGAATTGAACGGTGGGAATTGTCTCTCGTTCGGAGCCCAGAACATCTCTCGTTGCAAGAGTCCCCATTGGGGTGTAGTTCGTTCCTTAATATTTGGGTTGTTGGGATCGCACATCCTCGCTGTTATTGACGGGTTGGGTTATCTAAAAGAGAGGAGCCTGAGAGTTGGCTGAGTAAAGGTGTCATGATATACTGTAAATACATGGCCTCGGACGTTGAACATATCGGAGTCAGATCTATTTCGACGACGTGGCTTGACCCTGTTTTCTCGATCTTTTGCCCGGCGGAGAGAATCACGCGAGTGTCGGATCAAGACCACCAGTTATCGAGGAAGTGCGATACATTGGCCATTGCACAACTGGCCCTGACATTTCCCCATACGAGGCTGTAACTGACTCTACCGGTAGTAGCATTTCAAGTCGCAGCACTGTCCGAGCGGAGTAGTCGTCCGGATGTTAAGGATCGACATCGCCACGATGTCATTCTAGTCAAGGGAGTAAGAAACTAATCCTGTCGTTCTACTTGCGGAAGACAATACCGAGAGTTAATATGCTGCTAGAATATAATCCCCGGGCTTCCCGAGGCGGGTTGTGCAATGATGATAACTCGTGCAAGAGTTGTTATCACCACAAACGCTGTGGCTTAATAATTACACTCGTACGAAGAATTATCTTACCATGACTGCACACCATCGTGGCGTCGTCAGCCCGTACATCCGAAGTCGAGAATTTAACTGACCAGTGTCATTGCATAACCCAACAGTTTTTCGCGTCGATGGTAACGATACTCGAAGGAACAACCGTCACTTATAACATAGATATACAACAGTAGGTTGGGCGGCAAGATTTATATCATACTGGAGAATCAAAGGGTGGGAGCGGCAATATATATCGTGCATCATGCGAGAGGAAGTACATCGACTTCGAGGTCTATCAATACTATAGACTCAAAATGAAACAAAATAAACAAAAATAACAAAATAATATGCTATCTCGTCTCTTGACGATTAAACCAGCTTCATAGGATCCAGATATCGCTACTTCTGTTATCGGAATAGGTACACAACCTCATCATCACCCGCTTCAAGAGATGAGAGATTGAAAAGAGGATCTTTCGCTGCCAATCCAAAGAATAGCACAAGTCCAGTAAATGAGCCACAAAATGAATGTCCCTCGAACGAACTTTCTCATAGATGTCACTCACTCTAATTGACCTATTTTCTACTGATGAGATATTGTAAAGTATAACGCATGCTGCAAATATAATCTAATTTCTGTATGTGATTGAGATAGTCCTTATCAAACGCACAAAATATGTTCATCGGTGCCAAAATTATTCCCTGGGTCGTTTCCTACTATTTTTGTATGTCCACGTGTATGTGCAAGAGTCATGACAAGGCTACATGTATCATTCCTTGCTCTACCTGATTGAACGTGTTATAGCATTCCCAAGATAGATCGGGTTGAGCTAGGGGGGTTGTAGAAGTCCCAACTGAGATCTTTCTTTGGGCCGACACCGTGTCAGGGTAGACCCTGTTTTTCCTACTCAGATCGGTGCATTCTTGCATATCTCACACAAAAGACAAATATAAAGGCTCCAGCAGCCTTGTCGCATATGTTAGAATTGAAGACGACAACTAACAGCAGATACAACTACAGTTAATTTAGACCATTTCTGTTCTTTAGAAGGTCCCAAGGTTTACGGCGTTCTGACGAGGGCTTCGGCTTAAGCATAGTATACTTCCACGATACTAAAATTGGACTCAGCAGATGTGTACCGAATATGAATTCAGCTGATTTTCAATTAGACATTAAAGTACTATTACCCAAAATACTGAGTTGGCAGCCAATACTCGCATGGAAGACATCCCTTTCACTAAACAAATTCCATGCTGATATTGTTGCCAATTATGGAAATAATGCCCATTACCCACGGTCGCATGAGGGATCCTGAACACAACCATCGAAACTTTGTGCTGTAACGTAGTGCAGACATCGTAACGTCCCCTGTATGGCTGGCTCACGCTTTGGGCTCCGGCTTCTTTCTTTCCGACGCACCCTTGAATGTCGTACTCAAGTCTCCAGTTGGAAGCCGGAGTGGAAAATCCACAGCCATAAGAATCATTGTGAAAAACAGATACCAGCCGAATACACAAAAGACAAATATAAAGGCTCCAGCAGCCTTGTCTCATATGTTAGAATTTTCTTCTTACAACAAACAACATATCAACCAGGGACAAAAGTCAAGGTTAAAGAATGGAAAAAAAGCTTGCATTACCTTCTGACACTTTGCAGAAATCGCGGTTTTACCTTCAGCTGCGGACCAGTATGTGGCCATCAACATGATGAAAGCAAGATCGATGAATATGAAGACCAGGACGAACACGACGTTCGTCCGGAGAGAGCCGATGAGGAAGAAGAAGGTGACCAGGGCCATCACCATCCAGAAGAATGCTAGGGAGAGAGAAAATTGTGGTTAGGGAGACCATGTGTCTGTGAGCGGGAAAGGTGAGTGCACTCACAGAAACTCGAGTAAAACTGTGCAGTTCCTCCGGGCTGTGAGGCGTAGTAGGCTTGTGCATTGAAAGTGGGCTGGAGCGTTACTCCCATTGCCAGCCAAAAGGCACCTGAAAAATCCAGGCCGTCAGTATTGTGCTGGATCAAGGTCTCTTGAATAACAATCCAGCAGTAGTAGGTACCCACCGTAGCAAGCGAAGACTACGAATGGAAAGGTATTGCCGATGATCCATTCCAAGATACATCCAAGGACTTGAAGCATTCCGCCAAAGAAGAAAAATAGTCCGCTACCGACATAGTCATGGTCAGCATAAGGGTATAAAGTAAGTGCAAGTCATCGTAAATATAGCATATTCATACTTACATTATGGCTGCTCCATCACCACCAGAACCTCGCCAGCCCATCAGGTTACATCCCAACGGCATAGACGCGATCAAGAAACCCATCAATGGCCTTTGATCAGACTTTAGTCCATACAGCGTTAATTACTTCTTGTTTAACTCACATAGGCGTCGGGTTTCCAAACGTGCTGCGTAGATGTCCGAGTCTCTGTGTATACGGAGAGAGGTACATTGACTCAAAAACCTCTCTGGGAATGACCACGCTTGAAGCTGTCTGGTAGCGAGTCAAATACTCATTTTGCATGTCATTTGCTTTGCTCCCTTCCGGTGATGCGTTGCCATTTTGGTTGTTGTTGTTGGCCCTGCCAGTAAACTCTTGCTCATCTGTCGCCATGTTGTTCGAGTAATTCTTTTGAAATGTTGTCACGTCCCCAGAAGAGTAAAGCGAGGCTGCGGGCTGCGAGCTACGAGCTGCGAAGATGATGGAGAGGTACAAGGTCAATGCAATGCTACACGTACTCTAGAGGCATCTATATAAGCTCCCGGGTTGACTCAACCCCTCCACCTCACTAGCTGAAAAGGAGTGGTTTGCTTGTTCTCGGTCCTCCTTGACGTCTTTGGTAAATGATCAACCAGCTATCTCTGGATCTACAATCAGTGGAGAAAGACAAATATCCCAGAATCTATCCCCATATTCAGTAAAGGTAGGTTACCGTCATGATCCCCCCAAGTTCGACATCACCAGACATTTCTTGAGGAGCCTTGATCACCGAGCTGCGCTTTTCTCGAGACTAGCGGCACCGACTCCGGGATTTGTTCGAGCTTTTCCCGTCCCAACCGTGACACCCATCTCTGGAAATACAGATCATTGACAGCCTGAGCCGTATCTAGTCAAGACCCCGAAAATCTTGGGAACTCTACTGTTGAAAGACAGTTCCACATTGGCTGAAGTTATTCTTCTGACAGAACAAAAGATGAGGCAGAATACGAGGAGATGGAGGTGAGTTTCGAGACTCCTACGTACAAACTACGGCCGCGTCATACTTCTTCCCATTCTAGAACTTACCGTACTTTCATGACCGATTGTGATCCAGACGACGAATAGATCGGGATAAACGTGAAGATGAGTAGCTACGCCATGGCCAATGAGTCAACTGCCGGATATTTTGAAGGCGCCCACAACCAAGGTACTGAGTAACATTGCAGTCGGTGATGTTAGGATCAGGTCCGTTCACGGAGCCGCCAAGACTACGAACCATCTTCGGTAGAAAGGGGGGGGGGGGCAGCTGTTCCATTGAGACACAGACATCTGTTAAGCAGTGTAAGCAGGCGGTGGGATTTCCAAAACACAATCGCCATCGCCACCGGGTTCTGCAATGATAGCTTGTAGAAGTTCTCTTGTATGATCTAAAGTACAACTTGTATTTGCGCGATAATCTTGCCACCGAATCCCGATCAGGTAGCACCCGTACTCGTCATCTTCCTCTATACCTTCGTTCAATCGTCTATCAAGCTCTCGTTCAGACTGAGGTACGACCCGGAGAGGAATGTCGCGTAATGTGAACTTATGCTTCTTCTTTCCGTATTTCATACGAAAGGAAATCTCGAGGCTGTGAAGGCGAGCAATATTGTAGGTTGAAAAATCTGCATTCAGTAGATCGGGAGGGAGGGACATATCGGTGGCGTCGCAGAGGTTGACCGATGAGGTTGGGGTGCTAGTTGTTGTTTGGGTTGCAGATGACCTCTTGTGGGAGACGGGTACTGTAACTGATCCTCTTCGAATGAAAACGCGTTGGGAAGATGAGCTGGTATGGGACCCCGCTCGGACATGTGTATGCTGCACTAGTGCGAGCTTGAAAGAGCACACCACAGCGTTCGGACATTGTTCGTCTGTCAATGGTGATAGCTCCTGACCTGCTGCAGAGCTGTCCATCGTGCAGGAAATGGGGACGAAGAACGCTTGCTGTTCTTTGATTTCCACTTTCTTTGGCAACCATACAGAAAAGAAAAGCTTCACTTCCGGTGCCGAATGTGCACTTATCTTGGGAAGAATCGGGATCAGGCGGCAAATGGGCCGAGGAGAAGAACGTCCCAGGGCGCAGCACATCGTGTGACGATGAACAATGTACGGCCAGTCGTCCGCAGGCTGTGTGCAGCAAGTCATATCCAGGCTCTGAACAGATATCGACCGAGATGCTTCCAGTTTGGCCCCCTTCCTTTTGATGTGATTGGCAGCTGGAGCTTGGTACACGAGTGTCGCGTCGAGGGAATATTGTATAGAGCAAATAAACTTGCCGCTTTGCTTCATACTAGGAGGCAGAGGGTGGGCAACCAGTGCAGCATCACCTTTCCATGGGCGTATTGGATAGAACGAGTCTTTCGACCCTGGTGGCACAGCTCGAGGTGCCGCAAATAGTGGAATCCGAAAAGCAAAGGGCCAAGAGTATGTCCCTTTATATTCGATTCTCTCACCACTGTATAGATTCGTATGCCGGCTGAAGAGGTAGCTCTCCGATGTAAAGTCTGTTCTGGAGACAACCATGTCGCCATAGTTCTGATTGAGAAAGACTTTAGTTCGGCCTTTGAAGTCGATATCTAGGGATTCGATGGCTCGGTCTTCGGAAGTAGTGAACTTGACCACGCCCAGCACCATGGATCCAGGTGTCAATGGCTTCTCTTCATCATAAGAAAGTTTGATGGAAAGAGCCATGGGAAAGTTACAACAAGGCAAGAAATATTAGTCCAGTGTTTTTCGATATGTTTGCACTGCCCTAAGCAGATTATCAAAGAGTTTCCTACACCTAGTAATAGCTGTTCATATATCGTCGCGCGACTTATGTGTGTCAATCTACGTGAAGCAATAATCGGACCTAGGCTGTTCGGAGACACCCTTTCCTGGCGAAAGACACAGTGGTTACCGGCCATGGTCCACACTGGCCCTATTTCCCGCTTTCCCCCATTTGTGAAGAGCAACGCCCTGTGGGCCTAACCTGTTCCGCCCGGCCCATACGGAACGGAAGCCTGACTTTTCTCTCGGACTGTGCCCAAATTGGAGAACACGAAGCATGCAATGCTCACGTTACACAGTGCGTGATGTGCACAAGAGTATTAACACGACTGTTCATGTGATGAAAATTGGTACAATGACTTCCCACTATTCGTTGGCTCAGAAATGCAAGCACGTGCTCAATAACTGGGTTGACTGCCTGAACAGCACTCTTACAGCACTATGGATGCCATGATATCGTCTTCATTAACTTTCTAGCTACTGAGGTCGTTGGGTGATTCCACCAGGCGGAGATACCTCGTACTCGCTCTTCGCCTATCCGAATGGCGGAATAAGCTTCCATAAATTAGGTTTCGAAGATGGACTGGGGCTCAGTGCTTAGCCTCACTGCTCCTTCGAGTCTGCGTTCAAGCTGATATGCACCGTCGCTCAATGAGGGTTTACCGAGGATGCTTTTAGGGTGGCAAAGACTTTCGATGCGCCGACTTTTTCACGCCTGCGTCCTGCGTCTGACGGTTTTGGGGCAATGTGTTTAGCTCCGGCTGATGCGCATTCGACGAGTTCTGTCCCTGATCTACAACTGAAGCTTGGCTTTAATTGCTACGATCTATTGTGATATTCTGAGGCGCTGTATATGATTCGACGATTTGTGCAACCTCCTCTGCCGGTCCATGTATCTGAGATGAAATTAGCTTCTTGTTCTTGAAATGTTCGACTTCCTCTGCTACTGTGGTGAGTCTGAAACGAGCTGCTTACCCTATATTCCACGCTTCCACGGTGGAGGATTCTATCAAGCATCTTTCACTGATATCGGGGCGATCTTGACTCGTAATGATAGTGAACGGAAGACAACAGGGGAAACTCGGCTTTACATTATGAGCAGTGCTGCTAGGCTACCATTGAACAGAGCGCTGGGCAGCAGAAGACAGCGGCAGGCGGCTCTGGCGGCTGTGCTGCTACGGGCAAGACAATCGCAAGTACTGCGGACGTCACTCATTGTAGCCAACTTTTGTGGGAAATTGCAAAATCCCTAGCCTGAGGATGGGAAACCCAGAATGCATGTCACAATATCATGCTAGTAGTGCTCCACAAGATTTGATCAAAACTCAATATCATGTGAGATCGCCATATTTGTTACTCAGTCTTTCACAAATCTACATTATCACCAGAAGCTCATGTCAGAAATATAGGTATCAGTAAATTTCAGACATACTGAACCGCTCTGCCCGGTTGATCCGAGATAAACTATTATGTCGCCTGGCAACAAGGCTTTTCACTGAATGCTGCACCACTGTTAGTATTGTCCCGAAGATGACGTCTAACTGTGAATCTTTTGATTGAAATCAAAGGAGCCTTTTGATGATCAGTCTGGATCACCAGAGGCATGTATTACATCACGCAGTCGCGTGTATATATTCGTCTCACTCTTCTCCAGAGACAAGAGAATTTGACAGCAGAGAAGCTACTAAGACCATAAAAGTCATCTCAAGTCAGTGCAAGATATAAGCATCAAGATGCAGCAGACAAGGCGAAAAGGGGAGAGACGACCTATCCAAAAGACAGCACGGAGTACCCTTCATTCCCTCAAATTGCGAAGGGACTACCGAGCTGATCTGCCGCTCATTGTTTCCCGGTTCACAGGTTATCGACCGCCGGACGTTGAGTCCCCATATGAGCCTTTGCCATTTCCGCCGTTTACGTGGCTGCAGAAAATCCCACTTCGGTTTGAGGTCTGGGGTTTTGGTTGGATTGGCGCGTTCGGCGGTATCCTTCTCGTCGAAGCAATCATGTCGACCAGCACCGCTTTTCGCGACATCTATCACACTCCTACTATTATCACGTCCTTTGGTGCGTCCGCCGTTCTCCTTTTTGGAGTCATTGAGTCCCCAGTAGCGCAACCACGGAATTTTGTCTTGGGCCACTTCATTTCGGCCCTTGTAGGAACCGCTATTACCAGGCTGTGGGTCTTGAACGCAAGTTATCAAGGATACCTGGAGAACACGCATTTTCACCCTTCGACTTTTATCAACGGAGGACTCTCCATGGCAACCTCACTCCTCGCCATGCTGATCACGGGCACGGCTCATCCTCCGTAAGTGGTCTCGCGAAGAAGTCCCGAAGGACACAGATTAACTATTGCACAGCGCTGGTGCTACGGGTCTCAATGCGGCGGTTCAATCGGACGTGGTAACGCTATCCTGGCGATACCTACCCACTATTCTAGCTTCATCCCTGATTATGCTTGGATGGGCTCTAATCATCAATAATGTCGGACGTCGTCGGTATCCGCTTCATTGGTGGGCCCCTGGTGCAACATTCGTTTGTGCTGAAGAGGATTCAGAGCTGGAAAAGGCGGAAGAAGGAGAGATCGAACGTGAAGAGATGGAGGAGGGTGATCTCGAGCGAGAAAGTACTGCTGCTAGTGGAAGGCTATCTCAGGATGGTGACAAGCATGGAGAAGTGATGCAACGTCCTTCTTCGAGAAGGATGAGTCGTGCAAGCATTGAGGTAGAGCCAGCGTCTTTAGAAAGCGCGATAGATGCAAGTCCGGGAGAATTTTCGAACCGTCGGCTGAGTTCTAGTCGAGAGCGGTATTGGTTGGACTAGAAGTTCCATTGGAAGCCACAAGGCTTGACTGGAATGATTCGACTGCTGATAGTGTTATCATTGGGAAATTCGAACTATGAGGCATCGAGTTCTTTCTTGAGGAGGCCTTTGAGAGATAGGGTTCACCAAATATTAAGAAGTTCTACCAAATGCTCTAGCCTTCTTCAAAATCAAACTCATGCAAAGTATACGAAACCTAGAAAGTGAATATTACCGAAGAATTCCGGTAGCTCTTGACCGAGTCGCTCCTGATTGATTGCCGTGGGCTGCAGTCGTCAAACACTGCGTCCGTAAGCCGTAGACGCTTCGCATACCCCGTTGACAACAAGGTGAGCTAGTCTAAATCTCAACCACGCACACGACGCTCGCTAGATATGGAAGATGATGCTTTGATTTAGCTAAACTGGGGATGCAAGCTTATCTACATCTCATCCTGAAGGATTTGAAATAATCATTTCTAACAATCAAGTACCGATATCCAGCGAGGTTGTGGAAGAAGTCCTAGGAGTATGTTTATCCTGCACTGCCAGAGCATTCTCTCACTTGCTACTTCATACCATAGATTCGGAAAACAAACGCGTGGTGTATGTGTTGTTCCTACCCATTCACGCCATAGTCTTTGCATGCTCGACCCATTTCAAGTCAATGCCCCAGAGCTTGAGGCACGGTGGTGTTCAGAGGAGAGGCGGCGAAGTTCTTGTGACTGCCGGTTCATTTCCCGAGTAAGCTCTTTCGCGAGCGCGAGATTCTCTTCGAGGGTGTGATGGCGAACAAGAATATCTTCTTCTCCATCCTCAGCATCAATGTCTTCACCCCGTGAACTTCGTTCAAAATTTTCCTCCAGAGTGTGGTGGCGATAGACTTCAGAATCTTCGCGATTCTCAATAGGCGGAGGCATTGCGAGTTCACTTAACCCTCCAAAAGTGTCGGACTGGCGCCGATGTTTCGATGGCTGAGAAGATCGGTCCAGTTTGAAAAAAGCACGGAGTTTCTTCCACATGATTCTCCTTCTTGCGTCATTTCCTTGTTTCGAAGTCCTTGCCAACAACTGAAAGGTGGGAATAATTCTCGAACGGAAGATATCTTGCCTAGACTATAACCATTACCGGTGTCTCGACTTTGCTCGCCTCCGATGAGGAAACCTCAGCTGATCATTTTGGAGAACCTCCTCACCTGACCATTCCGGGAACCTTCTCATATGGTGAGTGCAATGAGACTAACTTACATTTCCGCGCGGTCCGGGTGGACAAACCCGGCAGATGAACTCCCTGACTTGTAACTTTCTGCGACGCCACCGTCCACTACCTAGGTATGGCACAAGATCGTTCGAAAAAGAACTTTTGGCGTACTCTCTCGCCCAGCTTCTGGCTGCTAACTTTGTACTGTATCAATCGATATGCGTAAGCTACAATCGGATGGTTATACTCTCAGCCCGGTGGGCGCTCCAGACTCTTTGGAGCATCGGTTATATTTCTCGAGTAATGGATCGCCCGTTTCGATTTGGCACGACGTCCCGTTGTACGTTGATGGTGACAAGCAGAGCTTGAACATGGTGGTAGAAATACCTCGGTGGTCCAACGCGAAGTTCGAGGTATGTATTAGAGAGAAACCGCTGGCCCAAGCAAAGAACATAGATATGTGGATGAGCCACTGAAAGTAATGCGGACAGATTTCCCGGAATGAGGCATTCAACCCGATAAAGCAGGACATCAGGGAGGGCAGAGCCCGCTTTGTACGAAATGTGTTTCCTTACAAAGGCTACATCTGGAACTATGGTGCTCTTCCAGGAGTAAGTACTGGATCCTCCAGTGCAGCGTCTAAGGACCTCGAGCCATTGACACGTCCAGACCTGGGAAGATCCCTCCCACATACATCCAGACACCAACCACCCTGGCGATAACGATCCTCTTGATGCCCTTGAAATCGGCGAGGAAATTGCCTATACCGGCCAGATTAAGCGTGTAAAGGTTCTTGGTGTAATGGCTCTTCTGGACGAAGGTGCGACAGACTGGAAGGTCATCGTTATCGATATCAACGATCCTTGCGCCAGCAAGGTAAACGGCATCGCAGATATACAACAAAATTTTCCGGGTCTCCTGGAGGCGACTCGAGACTGGTTCAAGTTATACAAGATTCCCGATGGCAAGAAGCCCAATAAGATCGCCTTGAATGGAGAGTTTAGGGATCGAAAGTGAGTTTCTTCCTGTTAAGACATCAAAGAGCCTTTTGTTCTACCGTGCTCGTGCCTCCCAAGAATGCACAAAAGCATCTGACAAGACATTAGTTACGCCATGTCAATAGTCCAGGAATGCCAAAAAGCATGGGAAGGACTGATTGATGGCAAGACATCTCCAGGGGAAATAAGTCTTGTCAGGGGAGAGGAAAGCCACAGACTGTCGGGTTTCGCAAATCCTGCAGGAGATGATGGACATCGATCGGCCGACGGGAATTTGGATAAATGGTTCTTCGTAAAGATGTGAATTGCGTATATCAGCTTAAATTTTTCTTGGCCATATATCCCATGCCGGCTTCTATGAACGCTGCCCAGAAGAATGCATAACATCCTGAATCTATGAAAGATATGATGGTTGAGTCCTCAGCAAGTTCTGAACCCGGCTGACCTCAAAGTTTGTGGGAAAATCATGCGAATTTAGCCTGAGAATAGGCATACCGAAACGACTCTCCAGCGTAAGAAGAGCCAACTTTTCGTGCCTGCAATTCCTCTTCGATATCCATCAGTCGGTTGTACTTGGCCACCCTCTCGCCGCGACAGGGTGCACCGGCTTTCAAATGGCCACAGCCGATGCCCACTGCAAGATCTGCGATGAAGTCGTCTGTGGTTTCCCCGGAGCGATGAGACACGAAGACGGCCCAGCCAAGTTCGTACGCCCGTTTTGTCGCTGCGAGAGATTCACTGACTGTGCCGATCTGGTTGACCTTTAAGAGCAGGGAGTCGCAAGCGTCCACTTCTGCGGCTTTCTCGATACGTATGAGGTTGGTCGCTAACAGGTCATCGCCAACTACCTCGATATTGTCGATCTTCGAAACTACATGAAAAAGTTTCCATGACTCCCAATCGTCTTGCGCAAAAGGGTCTTCCAATAATATAATTGGATACTTGTCGACAAGACTCCTGTACAGATCTGCCAGTTCCGTACTGCTGAGTTTGCTTGGCTTGTTGGACTTGAAGCCCAAGTCGTAGTGTCCATCGCCAAAGAATTCCGAAGAGGCCGGATCAATGCCGATATTGATTTTCCCTTCATGTCCTGCGCCCTTGATGGCGGACATTATCAGATCCAATGCTTCGGTAGGTTGAGTTATGGGCGGCGCGAAACCCCCTTCATCGCCAATACCAATAGCTGCTGTACCGAACTTTTTGATGATGATTGATCTCAATGTCTGATACACTTCGCTCGCCCATTGGATGCCTTGAGTGATGGAGTTAGCACCAGTCGGCGCGATCATAAATTCTTGAAATGCCATTGTATTCCCTGAGTGAACGCCACCATTGAGAACATTGAAGAAAGGAACCGGGACGATGTGATGTTTCGGTGATGATTGAAGCTCGCTGGCCAGAAAGTCATACAATGGCAATTTCTAGCCAATGACTCGTCAGCAGTCTGTTTAATTACTTCGAACTTTGTTGGCTCACCTTTGCAGCTGCACATGCCCTGGCACAAGCCATGCTGACACCGAGAATAGCATTTGCTCCCAGGTGACTCTTATCCGAGGAGCCGTCCAACTTGATCATAAAGCTGTCGATCTCTTTCAAACCCATTTCCAGATCATACTGCTTTTCGAGAAGCGCAGGTCCGATAGTCTCTTGCACGTTTTGTACGGCTTTTTGGACTCCAGCTCCTCCGTATGCTTCACCCCCGTCGCGTAGCTCGATAGCTTCATAGTCTCCTTTGGATGCGCCCGACGGCACAAGGGCACGGAATTTTCCGTCCTTGGTTTCCACCTCGACTTGCACAGTAGGCTTGCCCCGCGAGTCGAGACGTTGAAAGGCTTTCACAGATGTTAATATGGTCGGCATCTTCGATGGAATGACGAAAGCGTAACTGCTAGAGGATGCAGATTCTCAATTCTCTTTGTGTGAGCGACAGGAATTCCCATTTAGATTGAATACATACCCAGGGAGGCATCGGATATATGTGACGTAGCGCTTTACCTCACGTGAGGGCCTTGTGGTCGTGTTGTTAGGTGGAAAAACGCGACAGGGTCTACCGGCAAACACGATGCGGCCGGGATGGTGGTCTGATATCCATTCCCATGGAGTGGCCTTTGACTCCTATCGCCATCTTAAACGACGGTCGGGCGCCACAACCGGATAGGTGAAGTGACTAGAAGAGATGTGACCTAAGGACAGGCATATGTCAACCCACGTCAAGCAACGACAGGTTATTATCTACCAACAGCATAAGACGCGCAAATTTACCGAAATGTGTGTTTGATTCAGACTATTTGCATCTGTATCAAATGACGAACACATCCTTTTTCATCATCACGCAGTATCCCAGATCTAAATAGCCGGAGGATGTAGGAAGGGGTTATATGCTTCATTCACAAATTGTGCCGACCCTGCCAGCGCATAAAGCGTGTTAGCTTGGGATACTTGCGGGTTGAAGGCTACGAATCGATCAAAAGAACGACAATTCAATAGGTTTTGGTTTCGTTCTAAGCAAAATGCCTTTGCCATCGCCGGGGAAATCCGCAGAGAATCACTTACACATTACCGGCTCTGAAACCTCGTAGGGCATCGTCTGGTACATGAGGTTGAAAGATTCTTGGCTCAGGCCCGTAGAGTCAAGCTGTGATAGCATTGTGGCCTGGAAGAGGTCGCCGGATGGTAGTGTATCTGTGATATTGCCGAACCCATTTTCTGCAGTAGGGACAGCCCCGATTGCAACACAATTCATCGTCTCCCCTAAGGTAAACAGGTCGCCACGGGTTAGAATGAGATTCTTTAGGACTATGAAGGGTAAATTTTGAGCATGACAACCCCTGACGAGGTTACTGCGGGCTTCAACTCGGAGATACGGATGCCTGGTCACCACGAGGAGAATGCAACGGTGGGCAGCAAGGGCACAGCAGCTCGTTGTTGGGATGAATGTAGTACTTACCTTTGGAGATCGTCCTTGTTTTCTTGAGCCTTTGCATCATGTCACTCGCCAGCCTTGCTGCATTTGAATTAGAGCTGAGAGCTTGACAGACCTTCAGGCAAACTTCGGCATCTTCATCCACGGCTATCCAGTCTGTGTCTTTGAAGATTTCTTTGTCTGAATCCAGGTCCACGCAAATGCTTGCAACAAGAAGGATCGAACTGGCACAAATAAGACATGATATCATCTGCCACCAGGGAAAGCCATAAACGAGACTCTTCTTATCGTCGAGGTTATGAAGTAGTTTTGCAGTGTGTTGCGCAGCAACAATACACTTTCTTTTAGACATTGAGATACGGCCACTTTCTGCTTGATAGTTGGGACACGTTCTCAATACTTTGGGGGGTGATAATAGAGGCCGGTGAATTAGCGCTTGGAGGTTGTAGAATTTAACGGCAAGCATGTTTCGCTAGACTTCGTATCAACAAAATAGAGTGTTTGACCTTTCATGTGGAGAGACGTACCTGTCTTTTGTAAATGATCGACTTTTCAAAGGTATGGGACAAATCGAATCTCAAATTTCGCCGCAATTTTGATCGTCATCGTGACAATTCGTTATCTAAATGATCGATGTGTGATAGGATCAAAGCGGGGTCGTCAGCTCCTCTTGGTCCGTACAGACTCTCGAAGACTCTTCCAATTATTTCCGAGAACTTGATCATTGCAATAAAATAGTCTCCTACCCAGTCTGTCTCGTGCATGCCATAGTGACCGGTCGAATTCGCCAAGTCGACATCCGACTGTTGAGATGGAAGTTGAACATCGAAACCTGCCTCGCTGATAGCCGGTGGACGTCCCAATTGCAATGCTAGGAGGCGATCCAGCACAAATATGGAGTACCAAACTCGACGACACATTTCTGGTGAAGGCAGGGTATTTCCAACGCCCGTGCGATGGGCATCTTCAACATGGAGACCGATACTTTGGGCAATTCGAACAGCCGAACCTAGTGTTGTCCAACATCGGTCGGTCTGGCAAGTGGCCAGGAGATAGAAACATTGAGCGAGCAAAGCAGAAATATGATCAACCGTGTGGTTCGAGCTATAGTTCTGTGCAATAGCTATCGCGCGATCGAAATGACGTTGGTGCTGACGCGACGTCTGCGGATTGGAAGTTCTTCCTTCGGCTTCAGCGATCCCCACATAGCACGAACCGATGGCGAAAATGGTTACTTAGAAGAAGTTAGTGAGAGTTCAATGGAGGCTGTCCAGAGGCTGAAATGACAGCGGAATGGAGGAATCTGAGATTAGGCCAGATCATTTCAACTACACTGGTGATAGACATGTAGATTGTTCAGGACACCGTGCGATGACGAGCTGTCAGAGAAGAAATCTTGCGAATTTTAGGTGGTACTTCTCTGAAATTCACTTACCCAGCAAAGATAGCCAGGGCCCACGGAAGCCTTCCAACGAGTCCGATCGCCAAAACGATTCATATGTTTGCCTAAAATCCGGTTCCGAGACGAAGGGATAAGCAATGTGAATTGTTGAGAAGTATATGTCGACAAAATTGTCCGCGCTAGCCCGGGGCGGCAAGGGGCCTTGGCTCTGTTCCAAGAACTGCTGGCGAGGACCATCTTGTTCGTAGCTCTCGACTCGCGCTTCGGGGTCATCTTCTTGCTGACCTGACTCGCTTTGCTGGCAAAAGGCCGATTCCACGGCATGGAAGAAGCGAATGTCACTGGCCTCACCCAAGTACCGTCGAAAGGTGGTGGGATGATGATCGTCCGCCACATCCTGCTCTGGCGACGGTGAGATACTCGTAGTATCATGTCCGATCTGCTTTGTTAAGTGGTCTGGAAGCTGAATTGATGCAAGTCGCAAGTCGACAACCTTGCACTCATCCCGAGAAAGGTTTTTGCGGAGGCATCCAATTAAGTTCTCGTAAGTGGCAATTGCATCTCTTATTTTTCGGCCGTCGGTCTCCATGAAGAGCCAATTCAGATTCGCTCCATTGCCGTCGGAAGCAGACTTTCGAAGCCTACCCTCGTTCCAGCTACAGTCATATCCATATCCAGCGCAGCGTCCGCAAGTCGGATGGTTTCCATCGCACTTAAATGGCGAATGTGTCAGCTCCAGACCTCCAAGATAACACACAGCTTCAGGCATGGCTTTACCTTTGCTTTCAGGTTGCGGCAACTGTCGCAAGCCCGTGAGACACGTCGTCGCTTCAGAGACAAAACTGTAGCCATCTGGTAAGACACCTCCCGTTGTCGGAATACTGGATGCGGCGGGAATACGTTCGGGTTATGCAGTGGCACAAAAGCCGGCTCATGATAGCCCTTTGTTTCAAACCAACTCAGATGATGTCATGTGACCGCCAGTCCTCATGGACCCTGTGTGGGCGTAGCGTGCCGCATTTTTGACCTCTGTGTTTTGGAATCCGGAAGCAGCGGTTAGCGACGTGCCGCAGTAAGATATACATCCGTCATATCAGGCTCATTTATTCAAAGGGTGTCGCTTAAGTTCGATTGGGAACTCCAATGAATGCGAAAGGCGTCTTCGGACATTAGAAGTTTACGTTCTGGCGAGTGGTAAAGGCTTTACGTTACCCCTACCACTCCACTTCTCTACAAGGACTTCCTCGAATTGATTTCAGTTTCCCGCCGCCAACACTACATGGTTGAATCTTAAATGGGCATCTCATAGTCCAGCGAAGAGTATCAGGTAGCGTGATAGTATTCTCCTCGTATTTTTCATAAATAAGCTCAACGTGCTGAGTCTTGCGCGATTCGGCATGACTGGTTCGGACACCAGGGGTTGGTCGTTTTGTCAAGCTCTCGATACGAAATCGGCCCCGAAGCAAGCGAAATTCGCTGAGTATGGCATGTACCTGATCTGAGGTCGCTTGTTGCAGGCGGGGGTTCTGTAAGAGCAAGGAGGGTGACATTAGTCTGCTGCGGAGAACGCCTGATCTACAGTTCAGCTCTCATGGGTCAGTGATAGTCCTGAAGCCTTAACACAAGCAAAGATGAACGGAAGGCGATGTGCCGCAGTTCATTCTCGAACGTTAACCTGTGTTCCAGCCACCCTTGCGAGCCCAAGCTCTGAGCGGGATTATTAGATTGTGCTGCACTGATTGAGAGTGGTACATTCCTGGTTTGCAGGTATATTTTTAAAAAACAATTGGCGTTTCCAAAAACCTCAAAAACTTTGCCTTGAACAAGACGACTGATGGACGGAGATGGAAAGCTGGGAATTACCTCTTCCCGTGTTTCCCGCTCGAACCGTGGCATGGTGAATCGCAGATCGGAATGGCGAGAGAGGCCGACAAGCTAGCTAGTAGCTAACCAAAGCCAGATCGTGGGGTCAAGCATTATGACAATTCTTGTCTCCCCGGAAATTCTTTCGCTGCCATCTACATCTGCCTCAATTGCCAGAACCAAGTGTGCCATGCCTCTGCCAGGCCATGTCTCAACCACTCGTGATCGAGGGGATCAACCCTGCCAAGATCTGTGCAGCTGTTTGGAAGAGCAGCAATTAGATTCAGGTCAGAAGCCACGGGCAAGGGCAGATGGCGATGATGTTTTATTGTCGGAACTGACTATCCCTCAACCTGTGGAACAACCCGAAGACAAGAGCCGCAGGACGTTAGAAACAGGCGAGCAGACGGCACACAGACATTCAATAGCTCGCCCGAGCCTCGGGGATGATGGAGAACTGACGGAGCTCGCGATACCTGTACTCATACCTAGCGAAAGCCTCGCAGACGAGCAGAATATCAGCCTGAGATCGACAGAAGACTCGCGATTCTCAGGTTCCTCAACTTCGCAAGTATCATCGACGCGAGCGGAAGAGGAAAAGCCCCGGGGGCAGTCAAAAACGATTATTGCATACACTGAACTCTGTGCAATTAGTTGGATGATATTCTTTTCCATACTAGGAACGCTGGCTCGCCTCGGGGTTCAGACTATATCGGTGTATCCTTATACCGTCTTTCCATCTCCTGTCCTTTGGGCCAACTTTGGGGGTTCTCTTTTCCTGGGTCTTTTGCTGGAGGATCGATCTCTATTCCGGTTCGCTGTAGAGGTCGGGTCTGATCCTGAGACTTTTCATCACGAGGTCGACAAGGTGAAAAAGACTCTGCCCTTATATATTGGATTGGCAACCGGGTTTTGCGGCAGCTTCACGTCCTTTTCCACTTTCATCACCGATGCCGTCTTCGCCCTCACAAATCAGCTGCCACCTTCCGCAACAACATCACCATTCCACAGTATAGCCCAGGAGCAGGTGCATTCTCGCTCAGGTGGATATTCTTTCATGGCCCTCATAGGGATTCTAATCATACAGAGCGCTGTTAGCTTGGCGGCCCTTAAATCTGGTGCCCATTTGGCCGTGGCTCTCCAAACAGTAATACCAGCACTTCCCACCAATGTTCTCCACCGATTCCTTGACCCAATCTCGATTCCACTGGGCTGGGGATGTTGGATCGGTGCGGTCGTGCTCTGCATCTGGCCTCCAGATGATGAGTGGCGTTATCGCGTGTTATTCGCCATTGTATTTGCGCCCCCCGGCACTTTGCTTCGATTCTATCTGTCCAAAACACTCAACGGCCGCATAACGGGATTTCCATTGGGTACATTCGTTGCCAATATCTTTGGAACGATCATTGAGGGCATGTGTATGGACCTACAACATGCGAGCTCAATCGTGGCTGACATTTCCGACTTCAACTCCCCGCCATGCGCGGTCCTACAGGGCGTCATGCTCGGTTTCTGTGGCTGTGTCACTACTGTCAGCACGTGGGTGGGTGAGTTGAACGGTTTACAAAGGAGGCATGCCTGGATGTACGGCATGATAAGCATTGGCGTCGCGCTGGCCTTTCAGATCGTGATTATGGGCACCATGATCTGGAGTGTAGGCTATACCCAACACTGCTCATCGAGAACAATAGCCTGAGGAAAGCAGTGTGTATCTGTTTTTTTCCCTTGATCAAATATAAAGACAGCGGGCTAAAGCTCCTCTGATGTTTGAGTTCCCCAGATATAGAGCAAAGGTCTACCAAGGTGGGAGCGTCTGCAATTGACTTTCACAGCACTATCCCATATTCAAAACTCTCAAACGATAAAGTAGCTAGATATGGAGACCATAGTCACGTCCTGAACCACCGGCCATTAAGTCCTCGTTGCGGCACTACTGAAAAATTAGAAACGAGACATTCTCTCTTCTATCAGACAGTAACTGTGAACTACGGTCTGGGGAAGTTTAGTTCCCATTGCTTGGGTCGTGACTTCAAGAAACCACCTGCAGTTGCAACGGACTCTACTTTGTTCCAACCGTGTTGCGTGAAACCATATCTGCACAAGGGAAAAATGGGTTACCAGTCAATGCGCAATCTTCTGGGTATATTTAAGGCTGACATTGTTGGCGTTGATTATCGATCCGATTTGACATTGGCTCTTAGAGGACACTGCACTCAGGCCGCAGTCGATCTACCCAGTCATGATCTGGACCATCGTCGTTAAATTCAATGTCTTCAGTCCGAGAGGGATCTGCTTTCGAGACTAAGTTGTCTTTGGAACAAGAGAGGCCTTCTCGAAAGTAGCGCCTTTTGTGTGGACAGATCTTTCAATCGATGGCAAGGAAGTCAAAAAGGATGGCCATATCAGTTCAACATCGTCTTGTTTCCCTTTACGACAGTAGTCAATCCATATACTCCAAGTCATGTTGACATAGTTCGCTAGAGCAATGCTTAAGTGCCTGGAGCAATGTCACTATCACGACATATGAATGTCAAGCTCAGGGAGAGGAGAATCACTCACCACCATCTTTGGTTAGCTAACATGTGAACCCAATAGGTGTGAATCTCCAGGTGAAGTTCCTGTGCATGGATATGTAAATCACAGTCCAGGACAAAATCAGGAAGCCCCAGAATGCTCAATCCCAGAGCCGCGGGAACCATCTTCTGCAACATTGTATTCAGGATTTTGCGGTCGCGACGTTCCTGCCGTAGGCGTTCTAACTCATAAGTGGGGCTTAGTGCAAGGAAGCCTGCCCTGACTCCCTTGACTCTGCGTCGAGGCTTGCGAAGACTTGCTTCCATATAGTGAATGTTGCAGCAGAAGGCGACGATCGGGGACAGAGCTGCCACATTTTGACCACACCACCTAGCTCTGGCCTCCACGAGGCAGGCTATCATGAATAAGTTGATGCCTAGGAAAAGGGCGGCAGCGGACAAGTAGATTGTGTGAGACTTTCCGTGCTTGTGTTCTGCGTGGAGTAATGCACATGTCGAACAAGATAGCACGACTAACTCCAATCTCTCAGCATCGCCTGACCAGGGTTTAGTGATTTCTTTCAGAAATGAGGAGAATTCTATGAGCCTCCAGAGCCTTGTGTATGCGTACCATCCGAGGAAGGGGCCCAAAAAAGACTCGCCAGACTGATAAAGAGATTCCCGATGAAAGCTGCAAGGAATAATCCGTGGTGGCCATTGAAAAGGCAATTTGATATACCCTTGCATGCAACATATGTGCAACAAAGATCTGCCAAACAGTTCGGCTTCTCACTCCAGTGCATCCTTGAGGGATTTCTTCTTTGAAGTCGTGCCCATATACGTACTGAAAGGGCACAAGGGATAGAAATTCATAAGATCGCTTGCGAAAGATCCGTCGACTGGAGCCATTCGCGGTGCAGGTTGGAGTCACAAAGCTCATATTTGAATCGGTCCTAGCGCTCTGGATCATGGTTATTTCAGGGCCACCGTAATGGCCCGAGGGATCCGTCTTTTCCGGCGAGTAATACCTACGTAGTTACACGTGATACCTGCCCTCTTGAAATGTGATTATTCTTGGATGACTTGTCATTTCGTGAAGCGCCATACTAGGTCTGACCAGGTCTGATCTACCTAGTATGTGGTTGTGGCGGCGCGAAGAGAATTGAATTGACTAACTACAAATGTAGCGGTCGGAAATAAGTGTCTCCGACCCCTCACGCTAGAATGATAAGTAAATACAATCACGTGGCTGGGCGTGTCGCTCCGATACGCCTCGACGCGGTCTTTACATGCCTTGACGCGTCAGATGTAACAGAGACTCTGGTTGTAAGTCCGGTTCGTGAGCAAGATTGACTCACTGATTGACTGGTAGAGCTCCGTTAATTCTATTTCTACATGCAAAATCGCTCCCATGCGTGGTAGGACATTAAAGAACAGTATGAGATCATGTGAGAACCACTGCCATTAGTTTCGCGACTATTACTATTACTGCCTAACTAGACATTACCAAGCCAGATGAATGCCAAACAGTCAGAGAAAAATGAATCCTGACAATCATAAAGGAGGAACCTTCATTCGCTCCATTAGGCCTCCTAGCCCCCTCCCGAAAAGTATGAGGCCTTGTGCCTCTGGTTTCGCGGAGTTTGCACCTCAATTTGTTGGACGTGTGGCTTATGCCTGACCGCTGGGTTCAACGGGCTCCGGGCCAGTTTCGTGTACATCATTTGTTGTCTCCACAGATTGACGCGTCTTTTCAAGGAGCATCGAGTGACGGACGTCTCGTTCACTTCTGTATATCAAAACCTGAACAATCGTGGAGAAGACGCAAAAAGAGCTAGAAGCCGCGACATTAGCAATCCTTCCGATTGCGGAGAGCAATCTACACGTACACAGCAATAATGCACCAAGACTCAAGTGCGTACTTCAGCGAGCACTTGCTGACGCCCGGTGGCGAAGTGCTCGAACAATGGTGTCTGTTGTAGTCTTCCGCGGCAAAAATGAATGCGGTCACCCACAGATGGGAGTAGATGTAATCCAAGGGAATGAGTTGAACTGTGAAGCGTTTGTGAAATGCCAGGGGAATGGTGGGCAAGAAGAAACCGATGCTGGTGCAAGCAATGATCTCTTGATATGTTGTATGTAAATCCCGCGAATAATCGTGAATGAAGTAAGAGACAATAGCCATCACAATGCAGGCGCTAGCCCATTTGATGAAGTTGAACACGAAAAGAACGATGCGCAATCGCGTATAGGAGGTGTTAGATAGCCCAGAGCTATCAGCTCTGGGCAGTCTCATACCACGACGAAACTTCATGTTGCAAACTGGTATTCTCAACTGCTTGAAGCAAGTTCGAAAGGATTTCCAAGCCCGATTACAATGTGATATTATATATTCCATCCTCAATTTGTAACCTCGATACCCGTCAATCGGGAGCAGTGGAAGAGACGGATGGTAGACAGACCTCACTCGAGTAGGTGCATTGTATCACAAGACCTGGCTGTACTCCGGTTATGGACTGATGTGTCCATCTCATGATCACTCTGTATGCTTAGCGATATATCATTGCATGGATGGTGTAGATCACCAAGGGGAGCAGCGGGTGCGACGGAAATAATATAGCAAAGTTCTACATTCAATAAGAACTCTATCGCACAGATGAAGGCTAGTGGAGAATCACTGTGATAGTTAGATGTTTGGATTGGATGATGTAGATTAGCATGGAATTATTGCAATACAGGCTCAGCAGTATGCGCAAATCAGTGTTTAAATGTTTGTATAGGCTCTGCTTTGATAAAATCTTCGCCAAACATTGAGATATAGCCCAAGGTTTGCTCGGCATTCCCCCGACTAAGGACCGAGTCGTAATTTCATCTAATGCTCACACATATTTTCCGTCATTGCAGTCTTCCCTTTTCTCCACCGCCACAAGAAATGTAGTGCGTAGTGTCGACCCCTCCGAAGGATTAAGAGAGTCATTTTGTCATCGTCCGCCAACTTTGTGGCCATTTTTCACAGTAGACCAGACGCAACACTTCCCCTCCACTGCAGACGTGCAACGAGATGGCCATCATTTCGCCCGCATTATGTGCTTTCAGAACTAGAGAACGTTCGTCTTTGCGTCCGTTCCGACCGTTCCGCAGCGGAGAACTGAGCTGTCCCTCGTCGGCTGTTTCTTTGGCCGTGCTGAAAAGCAAACTATCCAACTATGATTTCTAGCAGTCCGATTCCGCCTCATCCACTCTCAACAGCCCTTGCCGTTCATCGTAAGAGGAGCAGTAGCTTCCCCGAGAGACATTGAATTATTAGCTCATTACTTCTTGGACACTATAAAAGGTGAGGAATTCAAGATAGGTTTTTTCCCGAGAGCATTAAACATCTCACGTGCGTGTTCCAACGTGAGATAACGCACACTAGCATTATTGAAAGACTGAACTTGCTTCCTATGAAACTCTGCCCACATACCTACTTGAAATGAACCAGAAAATCCAGACCGCACTGTGAAATCGTTACCCTTTTCATGGCTTCTGCGCTTCCCCCTGCTACCAGCTCGATCCAAGAGCGAAGCAAACGAGCAACGAAGGCTTGCCATCGGTGTCGGATCAAGAAGTCGAAGGTTCTCGTTAACCTTATCCAAGTTGTATTGTGGCGCCTAATCCGCTTCCAGTGCGAAGGACCAAGTCCTTGCGGTCGATGCAGAACAGACAACGTTATCTGTGTCTTCGATAGACGTCGGAGGCCCGACAACAGGGTCTACCCCAAAGGGTAAGTTCAAGCCTCGTCATCCCTGGAACTTCAGCAACTCTAAGTATTTCTGCTTGTAGTTACGTCGAGTTATTGGAGCACCAGCAAACTCAACTCTTGCGAGCCCTGAAGAAGTTGTATCAACAAGCGCACGACAACAGAGCAGGGTTTTATCCGCGCTTGAAGTGGTCCGGTAGTGACCTACCTGCTGTGAACAGCATACTCGAGGACCTTGGGGTATTTGAAGATGATGACTCTGCAAAGCCTGGAATTGAGGAAGATTCCAACGCCTCACACCTGGCAGCAACTGCTCCCATTGAGCTCACGCGCGGTCAACTGTCGACGAATCCTCTGGTTATTGGCCCTGCTTCTCTGCAACACTGTTCGGCTGCGGAGTCCAGCTTCGTCAAAACCTGCAGCTTTAGTCCGCCCTTGTGTGCACCTCTAAGCTCAACCCTCTGTCCTCGAGGCACACCAAGCACGTCTCCTACCGATTTATCTCACAATACCTGTGACCAATTTGACTATGAGCTGAGCCGTATCTACCCAAATTCCAACAGTGCCACGAGCTGTATCGACCCATTCGATCCGTCAACACCGATTTCGATGATGAGTTTACCCATCAACTATATGGATGCGTGCTAGGCCCACGGTGGTCAGATTGACCTAAACAATGTATGGCAACGGAAGAGACGTCTCGATCAGATGTTCCTTGGCGCTTTCAGAGGCATTTGTAATATGTGGTTAGAGTTTGATGAAAGCACGAACGTAAAAGGTTCGCTAGACGGCGTATTTGGGGGGGGGAGGGGGTAATTGTACATTGTCATACTTTCGGGACTTCGCTCCTGGGCGCTGCTAGAAGTGAATCGAGGAAGTGTCAGCAAGTTCTTCCAGAAGCGTCCGGAGCTTATTAGGTGCCTCATGTGTCACAGCTGAAACCATGAAGTGAAAGCCAATGAGTCGGCACGCTCTCAGTTGAATCCTGCACCGTGTGTTGGCTTATACACGCCTTTAAATGAGGTACTTGCCTTGAACTCTCTGCCTGGGAGCATCGTTGGATATCTCACCCTTGTCTGATGGCCGTGTCACAATTGTTTTCCGCAGAAAAACAACCGATAAAAATAAAGTGATAAAGGGGTGATGATCGATTCAACTGGTACATCGCCAAACCACCGGGAAAGAGGAGTCTTAGATGAGTAGACCTACCACAAAGGCTGTTCCCTTGTGCACGAGAAACGTAGATATTGTCCCTAATTGTCGGGTGTTGTTTTCAGACTATATTATTTACTTTTATGTGTCGAGAATTGGCAATGCGTAAGCGTAGAATTAAGAGATTCATTTGCAAGGTCCCACTCGCTGATTCTGACCTCCGGCAGTGGTTCTTACAACGAGCGCTCGAGGCGAATGTCAAGCTCTCGTAGAGGGTTATCCAAAGGCTGGCTCCTGCTTTGCCTTTGGAAGGCTCTGCAAATATCCTACGCGGTCCTTTGTGTAAAACTCGACGTCAACTTTGTTCCCCAGTCCAGCCTTTGAATCATCAAGGCCTCCAGCCTTCACACACGTCATGTCCGGCATAACCTCCAGTTCGGTGTACAAGCTAGACCCGCAAGTTGGGCAAAAGAAATGTCTGTTGATCTTCCCTGATTCTCCGATGCCATCCCAGGCCGAAGGGTTTCCTGGCGCCCAACATCGATTTAGCTCGGTAGCATGTTGTAATGGGAGACGCAGGTGAATACTGACCTGAAGTAACTCGGAAGGACGTGCGAGGAACAACGGCATTCGATGTAAATGCTCCTCCAGTCCACTAGTCATCAGAAACACAACGGATTAGCGAAAGAAATTTGCAGATGTTTCGGGATAGTGAACCTTTTGGCAGTCGGTGCAGTGGCATAATGCTGTGACCTTCGGCTCCCCAGTGAATTCATACTTCACCGCACCACACATGCAACTGCCAGTGGTGGTCATTTCACTTTTGTCGCTTGCCAAATGCTGCCTTATCGTGTCGAGTCTTGCTTTCGGGGAACCCATGAGACAGCGGTGCGAGAAGAACGCCTGGTTACACTCTTGGGGGCGTATGCAAAGAAGAAGGGCAGAAGAAGGAGGGGGCTGCTGCGTACTAGGACTTCTCGGTTCAAATTGTGCCTTGATGACATGCGTCGAAGTTATGGTTGCGGCGCGGTCTTGGACCGCTTCTTGACGGCCCGCCAAAATCCCGCCCCTCCGCCTTCTTTCCATCTCCACAGCTCATTTGACCCAGGCTTTCGTTTAGGTAATTAATTCGTTTCGCTCTGCTGCACAGGGTCTAGCCCTGGTTGCAGTCGGTGGCTACTGTCCCCTCCTTTATTCTGCGTGACCCTTCCTTTCGGCATTCCTCGGCCCTGTTCCCGCTCACTGATGGCTTTCTCCGTCACCATTGTGCCCGAAACTCTAGGCCATGCGCCAGTACCAACAGATACCAATCAAAGTTGAATGTCATCTCATAAGAAACCTCCCTTCTCGTACCCCGCCCTCGTGGTTCGCAGCTCGAATCCACAGCTTCCCCACGGGGTTTAAGTGTCGCCGTAAAAACTTTGCTCCTACCGTGGATGCGCTAGGCCACCGCGCCTCAGAGGCTTTATAACCGTATCTCCTGACAATCCCTGTAGATTTTAGACCTCGAGTATTTCATAGAAAGGAAGAAATGCAGATCGTACTGCGATTATGTCATGTTTTAGACAACATCATGAATCACAAGATGTGGTGTACGTGGCGGAAGAACGGCGTTATTGCTAGGTTTATGCAATCCTCGATATCACCGCCTGACTGACCTTCATTATATCAGCAGATTGAGGCTAACCATGAGGTCGCATGGGCGGCCCGTATCCCGCTCCTAGGTCCGTGAGAATAGAGCTCAAGGTTGCCTCGCAAGAACTCGATTGGCACAGATCTTGGTCTATATAAATGACGGAGCTTGCTTGTAGATCTAGTCGTCGGAGGGTTGAAACTCCTGTTAGATGACCTTTCACTGTTCACTGCTTGAACACGAAGAGGCTACTGAACATACCCAAATATGCCGGAACTGCGAGGAAAACCTCTTTTAGCGGGAGTGACTGCCGCCTGTAGCGTCGGTTTCTTCCTCTTCGGTTGTGCGTGGATATGCTTCCCGTGCTGAATCTCCTGACACCATGTATCTCTGATGCTGATTTCACAATAGATGACCAAGCGGTAATGGGAGGAGTCATTGGAGCAAAGACGTTCAACCAACAATTCAATCATCCGACGGTGCGGAATAAGTCTTCCGTGAAATGAGCCGTTGCATATGCTCCTTGCTGACTCACCCGTGATATCTAGGCCCTGCAGCAAGGTCTTATCGTTGGCCTGTACGACCTAGGCTGTCTTATAGGATCTATTTTCATCATTGCTTTCGGAGAGCGACTGGGTAGAAGAAAGGCCATTGTTAGTATTTTGCACTCCAACCCTTTCAGATGAAAGATGGGACCTAACGAGTTCAACAGTACATTGGCTCAGGGGTTATCATTGTCGGAACTGTTCTCCAGGTCACCGCCAAAGTCATAACCCATCTTATCGTGGCTCGCGTTGTATGTGGCGTTGGAATTGGTATCATGACCTCTGTCGTACCTGCTGTAAGGTGCCATGCTGCTGAGGTGGGCTGCCTGGATATTGACCCGCGAGCAACAGTGGCAGTCAGAAGTTTCTCCAGCTCACTCAAGAGGCATATTCCTTACCATTCAAAGTGGAAACATCGCCGTCGGTTTCTGCCTTGCAAGTTGGATCACACTTGCATGCTCATATACGACCACTCAAGCGCAATGGATTCTTCCGATCGCTTTGCAGGTGATATTTGCCGGCTTTCTCTTGGTGACGGTTCCATTCCTTGTCGAGTCTCCTCGCTGGATCGCTAATCATAGATCACTTGATGAAGCAACTAAGGTTATAGCACGTCTCCAAGACCTCCCAGAGACACATGAAGCTGTGCTTCAAGTCCGGAACGAGATTGCAGAAGCATTGGAAGCCGAAGCAAATGCGTCCTGGCGCACGCTCCTCGGGAACAACAATGAACAGAATTTCCGCCGCCTGTGCCTTGGGTTCGGAGCACTCTATATGCAACAACTCACTGGTATCAAGTAAGTCTCTTTCATGGAATTTACAGCGAGTGCTTACCTCGAGACAAGCACTATCGCATACTACGTCGCATATATCGAACAAGAGTATCTCCATCTCAGTAACAGCATGTCCCATATTGTCGCAGCAATTACAGCGACTCAATATTTGCCCTTTGCCCTCTCCCCGATTCTATTTGTGGAAAGATTTGGTCGACGTATTTTGTTGATGTGTGGTGCTGCTGCTTTGGCCCTAATGTCAGCCATGATTGCCGTCGGCTTCAACATTCCAGGGCGAGCGGGTGGTATCTTCACTATGGTGTTCTATTGTTTGTTCTACAACTGCTTTGGGATGAGGTATGTAGAACAAGAAAAAATTGGAGATCATGCCAAAACATCGAACTAACATGAGCCACAGCTACTTGAATATCCCGTGGATGTACGCTCCGGTAGGTTCAGACCAGTCTTCTATCGCCCTTTACATCTGGAATCGGTTGAACCTGACTGGATCAGGAAATCAACTCACTCAAAGTGAGATCTAAGGGTATGGCTGTTGCTTCAGCTTCAAATTGGCTCTGTAAGTACTGAATCTCTTACTGCGACCCAGGAATATGTACTAACCTGTATCTCGAGTCAATGGCATTGTTGTCACCGTAACGCCCTCAGGGCTTCAGGCTATTGGCTGGAGGTTTTACATCGTCTGTAAGTTGCCACCATCCCTTCTGCCGATGGTCGCAGGCGGCGTGTCTGCAACTAACAAGCAGTTAGGGGTTGTCTTCAACCTGTCCTTCATACCCATGGTTTATTTCCTCTACCCAGAAACTCGAGGCTTATCTCTCGAGCAGATTGACCACATCTTCGAGGGTAAGGGTCGAGGGTGGTCATGCTTTACTTCGGGAGTTCGCGACAGTATTCAAGGACCTGCTGCAATCGAAGCGGCGCGCCCAGGCCGTCATAACACGCACGAGGTTCAGACTGCTGACGGCCATCATATGCATCATCTGGAAAATATGGACGGCAGCAAGGCTAACGCGGTCGGCATTGAATCGATTCCAAACAAGGCGTGATTGATTGTTATGTTGAGGAATCTGAAACAGAAAAGTTGAAACACGAAGTAGGGCTCTGAGCTGAAAGACTCGGGGCAGATTATGACAGTGCTTCTGATATGATAGTGTTTAGAGAGTTTCACAGTGCACATACACAAGATCGCTGTGACGGAGACCTTTCACATTTGCAAATTGAGGAATGCAGGCCCTGAATGTTTCCGTATTCTGAAACCGGAGATGTGCTTCCACCGAATCCCACGCCATGAAGGCCAAAAAGGCCTTTGCTTTTTGACCTGCTTCCGGAGCCCCTTCGGGAGTCAGCAGGTCCTCCAAAATCCAACCGGAGGTACTCATGCAGGCTCCAGAGCGTCGAGTTTGTTCGAAAAGTCGCGCAATAGGCTTAATCGCGTTCTCGACCGTAAACATGTCAGAGTCCGAATAGTCGGCCGGAAAGTATTGGATGAATATTTCTGTTGCCACTCCTTTATCGTGTGGGAAGTCGCTGAGGGAGTTTGGGGTCAAGTTTGCATGGAAAACAGTACTCGGACCATCGACAATGGTGTTGAACCTGGAAATATGTGCTTCGTAAATACTGTCAAGACTAGGATTTAGCTTCAGGTCCTGGACACAGTCGCCAGTGATTTCACAGAATGGTTGCTGGTAGCCACCCAACTCTGCAACAAGAGCGCGATCTGTTGAGGGGAGAGCTACAGACTTACGCAGATGCAACAAATCTCTCATGGTCCTCGAGGTTGGCCCATTCTACAAAAAGCCACAACATGTTGGGCGAGTGCACTTCAGTTCCCCAGTACATTTTTCGAAACCCTGGCTGTGAAGAGGTTGTCTCGTATATCTGCAACCATGACTTTCCTGCAGGGCTCGATGTATCTTTGATGTTCAGCCCGCCTTTGAGAGGGATGGCGGCGACTTCTGTAACGACCATGATTGAGCTGCTCCAGGAGTAAATGTGATTTATTGGTGAGCTGCTTCAGAGACCCTCTGCTTCCTCCTGAGAGATGCCTTTTATCTCTCAGGAAAATTGGGCTACGACGTGACTTAGGACGAGAATATTTGGTTTACGAACCACACGAGGGAACGAGATCAGCGCGGCTACGTATCGGCGGCGGACCGCCTTTTCCCGCCATGCCACACCTTTGCACTCGGATTGGGAAGACATTACCGAAAATCCACAAACTGTGGCCTCTCTTTGGATTCTATTGATTTCTCTAAGCAGGATGATTATATTATAGTAGAAGAACGCAATTCCCTAACATTCTCGCCCCTATCAGCTTCGACGACCGCACCGTGGTTGTCAAGGATTCTTCGCATCACCGTACTGAGCAGATCCACCCCAAGGTCCCCATCCAAGCATTTTCATCTTACGTCATGGGGTCCCTTAGTACAACAGAGTCGTTACCGGCCCATATACCGTTCCATACGCTTGATATTTTCAGACTGAATTCCAGGACAATCATAGGTACCTTCACCCCGCAAAGTATCCAAGCCATTTCCTCAACATAACCTTGACCATGAACCTGAATCCAACCACTGACACATGATGTTGAGTGACGGGCGCCATTGGCGGGCTCGGCGTGCAAGCAGTGACAGCAATCCTGGAATCAGGCGGAGATGTAATTTGCATCGATCGGCCGGAAATACCTCCAGAAACCGAATGGGGTGAGTAGAAACAAAACATTCCTATATACAACTCCCTTGTATCCGAAGCTGATTGAGTTCACGTCAAAAACAGGCAGACTGAAAAATCTTGCCGAATCGAATGGGGCTCAGATCTTATACTACTCTTGCGATATCACAGATGAGGCTACAGTTGGCCTTCTCTTTGAAGAGGCTGCCGAGCAAGCACGATTTCCTGTTCGAGGCCTTGTAACCTGCGCAGGAATTACTCGCGTCGGCCCTTCAATCAAGTTTCCCCTCGCTGAAGCACGTCGTGTCATCGACATCAACTTGGTTGGAACACTGGCAGCTGCTCAGGCAGCTGCGCGCATCGTTGAAAAGCAAGCGCTGCCCGCTAGTTTCGTCTTTATCGCAAGTATGAGTGGTCACATAATTAACAAGGTATGGCGTCATGTGAAGCACAGCCAGGAGTGAACACAAAGTAGCTGACCAACGAGTCCAGGGAGCTCCAAATGCAGCATACTGTGTCTCAAAGGCTGGTGTCCATCAACTAGCCAGGAACCTGGCTTATGAATGGGGCGGATCACCCGAACTTCCTTGCATTCGAGTCAATTCTATCAGCCCAGGTTACATCAAGACCAAAATGACCCAATCATACATAGAGCAAGCCGACTTGGAAAAGATCTGGCTTGAAGACAGCATGCTCAAGAGGTTCTCGGAGCCCGAAGAGTATCGAGGAACAATAGTTTATATGTTGTCGGATGCGAGTTCGTACATGACAGGATCGGACGTCAGGGTTGATGGAGGCCACACAGCGTGTTAATTGGTAGGGCTGTAGATGTGAGAAGTACTGATCGATACAGGGTGAACTCCCAGTCAGCCTCAATCAAGGAACAGCTGTTGAATTTCGCCGCAGAGTACTCCGTGTTTTGCGTGTAGAGGAACATATATGCGAGAAATTGAGCAAAGACCTAGGGGATAGGGTGATTATACAACTACAATTTTGAAACTAAGCAATCATAATCAGGTAGAATAACTCACCGTTCAAGAATGTAACACCGGCACCGGCCACAATTATGACGAAAATACGATAGTAGCAACAATGAGACAGTATTGGCTTTAGTAAGAGAAACAAGAACAACAAAAAGATCAAAATTGTCGATAATAACCTATCTTCTGAAGCTCATCATCAACATGCTGTCACCCTTGAACTGTCACTAACCACCCAGGTTTTTTCCACTCCCACAAGAGACAAATTTTGAAATACAACTTGAACCTAACCTTTCTCCATCCACGCTCTTCTGTATCTCAGGCTAAGGCGAGCCTCGAGGTATATGATGTGTACAGAGCTTGCCGTTTCTTGATTTTCAGCCGTGCCGCGTCTTCCTACTCTTCTGGCAGAGCCAGATGTTACACCTGCATGCGCCTCATACCTGTGGATTTGCCACCTTCTCGACATGTGACGAGGTGATGGCCTTCTGTTCGGCCTGGGCAAGCTCTCTGAAGCGGATTTCCTCCTTGACTGCAGTAGTCCGAACCACTTGTGTGTGTTTCTTGTCGAGACCCATGCAAATGCGTGAATTGTCAAAAAACTACAAGCAATCATGTTAGTAGAACCTCTTTGACAGAGGATTGGTTTTACTAACCATTTGATCGACCTCTTCCAAGGTACGGCCGGCGGTTTCCACGCCAAAGAAGTATGTCAATGGCACGAAAGAGGCACAGAAGGCACCCCAAATCCAGAAAAAATTCCCTCCGAGGTTTTGCACGCCAATTGGGGTGATCATGACAATCACAAAATTTGACATCCAGTGCCAGAGAACTCCAACGGCCATGCTCTTATTTCGAACGCGTAGTGGTTGAACTTCTGCCGAGTAGCACCAGGAGACTGGGAGAATGCCAGAGCCATAGCAGTCAAAGAAGACAAACATGAAGGCTACGGCCGCGGCAGCAGACGAGTATGTTTTGTTGATCAAAGCTCCGGCGATGATGAAGTTGCAGATCGCACAGGCAATCGACGAGATCAGGACAGTCTTTCGTCTCCCAAGTCGGTCCAGGAAGAAATATGGGGAGAATGCCATGATGGATTCTTGCGTAAAGCACACGGATGCTAGAATCAAAGCCAGTAGAGGCTTGTAGCCAAGGTAGGTTTCGAGGATATACCCCATGTAATAACCGAGTACGTTTGCACCGCTCCACTGATTAAACAGGTACGGACCCATACCCAGCAGGACCCGTTGAAGATTTCGAGCCTTGGTAGCGTTACTGAAACACTCGGACCAGGTCACCGGGCTCTCGGCTCCCTCTGCAGCAATGTTGTTCAGAATCTCGGTGAGTTGGCCTTGCACTTCGGCGTCATCATCTTCCTTGCTCAATAGGCGAGCAATGATATGTCGGGCTTCTGCTTCCTTCCCGTGTTTGGCCAACCATCTAGGTGTCTCCGGGCAGAATAAGCAAAACACTAGGATGCACAAAGAGAACAGGATCTGACAAGCCACCGGAAAGCGCCACTGCATTGATCCTGGGGCGTATAGGGTGCCGAGACAAACCCAGGATGCCAGGGCCACTCCAGAGGGGATAAGAACCGACTGGAAGACAAGAAGTGAGCCACGGTTATGAGCGGGCAGTGTTTCGGATTGCAGAATAGGAACAGCCACGGTGCTGAAACCGACACCTAGTCCGGAAATGATACGAGCAACAAACATCTGCTTGTAGCTGTAGGACGCAGTCTGGATGGCGGCCCCAATGATGATAATGACATTGGCATAAAGAATTGATCGCTTGCGCCCAACGCGCTCACCAAAGATAAATGCGGTGACCGCACCCAAGGCACATCCAATATCGTAGATTGCTGTGACGAGACCGCTCATGGTCGCGCTTGGGTGACCGAGCATTTCCTGGAAGCGCTTTCCAGCAAGAATTCCGCCAAAGAGCCCTTGATCATATCCAAAAAGGAGGAAATCAAACCCAGAGGTGATCAAAATGAGAGCTATGAGGGCTTTGCCTCTTAATTCTGGGAGGCCCATGGTGTAGGATTGGCTGCTCGCGCTCCTTTGGAAGCTTGAGCTCTTGACAGTGTTTAGGGTTTTGACGAAGCTTGGATCGCAAGCAACACACTGAGGATATATTGTGCGAGATATTCGATGCTGTTGTTATATAAGACTGGCTTTTGGGGACTTGGCTGGAGTTATCCATTCGGCGCCTGGAATGTGAACTTTCTACTTCCATTATATATACGTGAAATACCCTATCCTTACCCCATGGGGAGGGACTCCGTGGTTACGCCAATGTGAGGCTAATGTCCCGTGGCGAGCTGTAGGTCTGTCTCACCACAAGAAGCGGAGGTGGGCGGGCCGACTCCGCCTCCATTTTGATTTTTTTCCACATTGCTTTGAGCCGTGTCGAATAGGTGGAGTTTGGAAAAACTTTCAAAGTTGTCGTGCCGCTTCGGCTAGAACTATGTTTGTCGGCCACGGCTACACATGACCTGGCACTGTGGCTTGACGACAGAGGTAGGCTTCCTTTTTTTGGAGGAAGTAGTCCGCGGAAGAACCAATTACAACCACCGGGAATCTAGAACAAAGAAACGAGGGAGAATTCAAGAGTAGTCAATACTTCAGTCTGTGCTTCAAACATTGAGTCAGCTCCGGCACGGTTGGGAACAATCCTGTGAGGGGTGCCCCACACAACGTCCACCTACCCCAGAATGGAGCATAGGCGGGGCACTCTAAAGCTGAGGGTTCATCAAAGCACGCGCACATTGTAAGTCCTACCAAGCGAAAGAAGTGCTTGCGACATTGGGAAATGCCGATGTTATAAATTGCATGAATACAACACGGTGAACCCACCAGGAATCCAGGACAGTAAAATGAGTACTTCTCGACGTGCTGCTGTAGCTTGCGATTTCTGCCGCTCCCGGTAAGTCACGACAAATTTGTTCTTCGGGGGAGCATCGTCGATTTATCTCTACCCACACATCGATCACGCTCAGTTTTGCTGATATCATGAGTTAACAGGAAGCGACGTTGTGATGGGAAAAGACCATCATGCGGCATCTGTGACAGAAGGGGACGCGAGTGCTTATATCCTGATTCTGAGTGGCACAAGTCTGTCCACAAATTCCTCAAGCTCATGCCCAAGCTGATTGTATGATACAGGTTCAGCGTTCGAAAACATCATGTAACGCAAGATGAGCGCCTGGCCTCGATTCAGGACTTGGTAAGAGAGCAGAGGGATCTGCTCGCAGCAATTCAGCAGAGATCAAGTCAGGCGTCATTCAACCCTCTACCTTCAGGGCCAGATTGCTCCCAGGTAGCTGCTCCGTATAGACCGATCAACACCTGCGGACCAGAATCCCCAGTCTCGCCTTCTCAGATTTCTTTTCGGGACGAAGATACTGGTCAATCTGTCCGAACCTTGGAAGCTGATGCAGAACCGCCACCGTGGACAATCCCACTTGGACATCATACGAGCACCAGCAGTTTACTCGAAGTGACTGAACTTCAGAAGCTACTGGGTGAATATCCTCCTGAATTCTTCTACCGGATTGAGTCTGGCAGGTCCGGAGGTAGTATGTTTGGCCAATTCAGGATGGATATCTCTACGATGCCCGACATTGACAATACATCCATGAAACGCCTGGTGAACCAATTCCTTGACACTGTGCATTCTAATTATCCTATCTTCGATGTCGAAGCTTTTGAGCAGTTCTCCGACCAGAGAATAGCTACCGGTCTCCAATTTGACATCGACTCAGCTATAATTCTGGTATCTATGGCACTGGGGGATTTGCGAGCTAGGAAGCCAGAACCAAGCAGTGCTATCCACGGCCATGACTTCGGCTTCCAGTGTTTTCAGATTGCTGTCGGTGTATTCATGTCGGCTTGGGTTTCATCACACGCGCACAACCTGTCCCTCTGTCAGGGTCTTGTCCTATGCGCAATCTACTTAGCGACCTCGGTTCGACCGCTGGAGGCTTGGAAGCTGATTCATATGGCGTCGACCACCGTCCAACAAATACGGCTCAAGTCTGTCATCAGCTGCCTATTAACATTAAAAAACGCTAACAATATCCAGCTCGGAAACGGACGGTCCAGAAAACCCGCAAAGGGAAGAAGTAACTCGCATCAGTTGGGCATGCTTCTTAATAGAATGGTGTGTGTGACTTCCGGACTATGACCTCTTTCTGACATAATCTTAATTAGTGATATCCTCGCCGAATTTCATCTACCGAGGAGTGGCATTGACATTGTTGTAGACAACATGTTGCTACCTTCCTGTGGAGACTCGCCAACTTCAGCAAATCTGTTCTTTCTGGCAGAGCTGTCAGTTCGGTCACTTTTGAATCGCATCTTCCACTTTATCTATTCCAGGAGAGACTGCATATCTTCCACGACGAACAAGCTCGCTTCTTCCCGGGCAATCGAGCCTGATGCCTCTTTCAGGCGGATATGCGCGGAGCTGGACCGACAACTGGAAATATGGTTCAAGTCTTTACCGTTCCAGATTTCGCCTGACCTCTCTGTGGGTTCCAAAGCAATCGATCAAGCATGTGTACTGCGACTAAGATATTGGTCCGCAAAACATCTGATCTTTAGGCCTTTCGTGCTTTATGCAGCCACTCTATCCCCGTCAGAACATGTCTCCGAAGACCTCAAGGATAAGTGTTTGCAATGTGTTCAGAGCTGCCGAAGTTTCTTGGACTACGCAGGCTGCCTGCTCTCGAAAAGAACGGCGTATACATACTATTCATCACACTTGTGAGTCACTCCTCAACTATAGGCTCTTGTGACCATCTTCACGAGCTCTGACCATCATCGCCAGCTGCCTTTCCTCGGCTCTGATCTCAGTGCTCGCATTTCGATGTCCTGCTCTCAAAGAATTTGTCCCGGATATCGATCATTTGCTGGACACCGCGATAGAGAGACTTAGACCATGGGCGTGCTGTGGATCAAGCATAGAATGCGCTTTGGACATAGTGGTATCTCTCAGAAGAAAACTGGCCGTTTCTGCTTTTGATAAACCTTAGACAAAATCTTATTCTCCAAGGCAGTGGTCTGACTCTATTAAATACGGCCTGAAGTGATTAGCTGTGGACCACTTCGGACAACCTAGTCTCACAGCGATAACTCCCCACGCAAGTAGGGATTCCACCTCAGTCACGAGATTTTGCAGTCACACCGCGACCATATTGTTCTAGACCGTACCTTAGCATATTTCTATTCTCATTATCCAAGCCTGGTCTCCTCGATGCGTATCTTTCCTCCCAGCCGAGGGAAATCAATTTCTGACTCTACCCTAAGCGAGCTCTTTTCCCTCGCACACCACATCTTCCTCACGGCTTTACACGAATCCAAATACCTTCATAGGGAAGCTCGACTGATATGGCGGGGAAGCGGGCGAGGCGGTCCGCAGATTGCCGCCACCTTGGTCCTAGTATAGATGGTCTGTGCTCTAATTAGGTCATGAACCGAGACGTCACTGGCATACACTAGCTAATTTCTAACCCGCCTAAGCAGCTAGACTTTAACTATGATGGGATAGCCTTGTATCCCCGCCCCTACAGTAGCTCCGCATTGGTGAGAAACATCGCCTGGCGGCCTCAGGAACGGGAAAGTCGCCCGCACTGTCCTAGATGTTTATATTGTCCTACTGTTACTTCCCCTAGTTTTATAAGGCTCAACGCTGAAACCTCAATTGATCAAGACCAGTTGAGATATCTTTGATCCGGTTACAGTATGGCCGGAGGAAGGCGAAGCATGAGAGCAGCACGGTACTACGGCCCTCGAAACATACAAGTCGAGAATGTTAATGTTCCAGAACCGGCGCATGATGAAGTTCTTGTAGATATTGAGTGGTGCGGAATTTGTGGTACTGATCTTCATGAATATCTCATAGGTGAGTGCAGAGAAATTCAGATCGCTCAAACGATATTAACAACTACAGGTCCCGTCATCATTCCAACCAGAGAGAAGCCATCTGGAATTAAAGGTGCTTACTTGCCTGTGATCATGGGCCACGAATTTTGCGGCAAAATCTCCAAGGCTCCTCCTAGCAGCGGCCTCAAAATCGGGCAACCTGTGATGGTTGATCCACGAATTTACTGCAAATCTTGTTACACATGTCAAAGTTCCAACACAAACATCTGCACTCAGTGGGGCTTTCTAGGTCTAGGAGCCGATTTTGGCGGAGGTCTCGCAGAGACGATTGCTGTTAGGCCAGAGATGTGCTATCCTCTGCCTGATTCGGTTTCTCTTGCAGATGCCGCGGTGATAGAGCCGCTTGTTGTGGGACGACATGCCATCAAATGCTCGGGTTTTGACGATTTCAGCTTGTTATCTGCACTCGTCATTGGTGGAGGGCCTGTTGGCGTCGCAGTAATTCACAACCTCAGAGCCAAAGGGTCAAAGCAGATCTTTGTGTCTGAGCCCACCCAGAGGCGACATGCACATGTGAGCCAAATCGCAGATGCTGTGTTCGACCCAACGAAATTGGATGTCGGTGAGAAATGTCGCTCACTGACCAACGGTAAAGGCGTGGATGTTGTGTTTGACTGTGCTGGAGTCAATGCAGGTCTCCAGCAGGGCATGGATTCATTAAGACGCCGTGGTACTATGGTCAACGTTGCAGCATGGGAAACCAAAGTGAGTCGTGGAGCATGGTTTAAAGATGCCCTGCTAACATCATTAGCCCATCCTGCCATATGAGGAATTCATGCTCAAGGAGCTCAATTACAAAGCTGCAATGTCATATGACGATTTGGACTTCCAGGAAACCGTGGCAGATTACTTGGCAGGTCAGTGTCCACCACTTTGCAATTGATGAATTCACAGGATTGATTACATCGTGTAGGCAAATTCAAGGGCGCTGAGACCATGATTACAAGTAGAATTAGCTTGGAGGATGTGGTTTCCAAAGGTTTCGATGAGTTGGTCAACAATAAAGATGACCACGTAAAGATCCTGGTGACGCCTCAGAAGTAGGCTGCTACGTAAATATGAGCTTCTAGAGAGCCTGAGATTGAGAGAAGGAATGATGAGGAAAGTCATGCCTCATTTGTGTATCCGTAGTCCTGCAGGGTATTGCTGCTGAGAGTAAATGGAATATCTGGCGTTGCATTGATATTGCTAATCGGAGCACTCTCGCCTACTATTATCTTTTCTCGGGTTCGGTAGTCGCTACGGCATTACCAGATCAGTTCGTAGGATGATACTCGGTTGCTTGTTTCCCACTTCTGAGTGCCTAAGATATCTCCTCCGGATCATCATGGTGTCAATTTCAACAATCACCGATGCCCGTGCACCTCTCATCACGACAGGGGCAATATCAAGGTCGTGAACGCATCGGGATCGCTGCTAAAAGGTAACGGAGCTCTCATCATGTCGGCTTACACGAGAGTCCAGCCAGCTTTTTCCCGCAGACTTTACCCGCCATTCCTACTGATGACGAAAAAGTGGCAATGAAGCATTCGATTAGCAGACCTTTTCCGGCTGTTGTGGACGTAAAGACGTGGAGGGCGGCCCGCTTGCGGCCCTGCCTTCCTACTATACTCCATTGTCACCAATCATACTTTTGAAGAGAGGCAAGCATGCCTACTATTTATTTGGGTAACCTAGGCTGAGGCCAGCCCAGGTATTCGACTTCAATAAAGTTGCGTTATTGTGTAAGCATCTCTTCGAAGAGGTGACTTCCAATTTTCTAGCGTGCCAGACCTTCCTATTCTCTTTCCTTTATGTCCGTCTTGGAATAAACAGCCGTGAGAAAAGATCACTTAGATCAACTCGAAAGCATGGCCCAGCTACTACGCGAAGTCGGCCACACAACATTCAAGGATGAAAATCAACTAAAAACTGCTCCGCATCTCTGCAATGGCGACTCCGGCCATCAGCAAAAAGTCCTAGGAGACAACATATCTGATGACTCCTTTGCCACTCTGGCCTTCCGCAATCTGGTGTTCGATGTATGCATGCAAAACGGCGGAGGTCATGGAGGCTCCGCGATTGGAATGGCAGCTATCGGAGTTGCGCTGTGGAAACACATCATGCGATACAACCCTGCCGACCCTGACTGGTTCGACAGAGACAGATTTGTCCTCTCGAACGGTAAGCTGATATTTCTATATATAAGCAAGATATTTTAACTAACGGTATATTATAAGGTCATGCAAGTATTTTCCTTTATGTGATGAATCACCTTGTGGGTTATGATGCTTGGACAATGGAGCAGCTCAAGGGTTATGGGGACGACAAGATGCCCGGTTTCGACACAATGGCGCATGGTCACCCCGAGAGAGATGCTCCAGGAGTAGAATTGACCACTGGACCATTAGGCCAAGGAATAGCAAACGCTGTCGGGTTGGCGATAGCATCCAAGAGCCTGCGAGCGCAGTTCAACAAGCCAGGGCTGGAACTGGTTCAATCTCGCATATACTGTATGACTGGAGACGGTTGTCTTATGGAAGGCGTCGCGCTTGAAGGTTTGCTATATGAAATTCCTGATTGTTTCCATTAGTAACACGCTGACATAAAATTATGCTAGCTATTTCGCTTGCTGGGCACCTTCAATTAGACAACCTTGTCCTGGTCTATGACAACAACCAGGTTACTTGTGATGGGCCTCTGGAGTGGATCAATTCTGAAGATGTAAACGCGAAAATGCGTGCCTGCGGATGGGCTGTCCTTGATGTGTACGACGGATCTGACAATGTCGATGCGATCGTGGCAGCCCTTGAACATGCGAAACACTTTCACTCCCAACCTGTTTTCATAAACATCAGGACTGTTATCGGCTATCGAACATCGGTTGCCGGAACTGCAGGCGCACATCATGGGGGTTTCGACACGGAGAGCATCAAAAATTCGAAACGAGCTGCCGGAATGGACGAAACCAAGACTCATTCTATTCCCGACAGAGCCTTGAAGTACTTCCGTGGATGTCGTGGGCGAGGTATGGCTCAACAGATGGCTTGGAACGAGAAGCTCAATAGATATTCGACTCTTCATCCCGAAGATTTCGGCAAGTTTCAGTCTCGTATGGCTGGTGAGATGGGAGATTACGAAAACACACTCCTCTCACTTGACAGTAAACAATTCGCGGGTCTTGGGACAAGAGACTCGAACGGCAAGATTCTCGAAAAGTTATGGAATGTTTGTCCGGGCCTCTTGGGCGGGAGTGCTGACCTGGTGAACGCCAACAAGATCAAGTACGCGGAAGACGATGTTTTTCATCCTCTCCAAGGTTATCAAGGGCGTTACTTACGCGTCGGTATCCGTGAGCATGCAATGGCGGCTATCGCCAATGGTCTTGCGGCATATCACCCTCAAACTTTCATGCCCGTTACGGCAACATTTTTCATGTTCTATCTTTACGCGGCGCCCGCCGTCAGAATGGGAGCTTTGAGCGACTTACAGGTCATCCACATCGCAACCCATGACTCCTTTGCTGAGGGTCAGAATGGGCCGACCCACCAACCAGTTGAACTGGATTCTCTCTTCCGAGCCATGCCTAATCTCATCTACATCCGCCCTTGTGATGGTGAGGAGTTGCTCGGAGCGTGGATTGCCCTTCTCAACGCCCGCAAAACGCCGTCTATCTTGTCGGTTGCTCGAGAGCACTACAGTCATGTTCCCAACACTGACCGGAATAAAGTCAAACTAGGTGCATACGTAATCCAGAAGCGAGAGAATCACAGTCTGACCCTCGCAAGCTGTGGCAGCAACCTTGGCCACGTTGTTGCGGCGGCCGAAGTGCTAGAGCAGGACGGACAAAGAGTCAACATTATCAGTGCGCCGAGTCTTGACTTGTTCGAACTCCAGGAAGAAGAGTATCGCAAGTTTATTTTTCCACTGGACGGAACTCCGGTCATCAGCGTAGAAGAGTACGTGCCGACAACTTGGGCGAGGTATGCAACTGCAAGCGTGGGTATGTATAGCTTTGGCCACTCTGGCAGTCAAGAGGCCAACTACAAAAGATTCCGTCTTGATTGTGACGGTATTGTCGCACGTGTTAAAGAATACCTCAAGCTGTTAAATGGCCAAGATGCTCGAACAGCGGGCTGGCACAAGATCTGAGGCGTAGGATATGGGCGAGCTCCTGAAGTGTATATAATATGCACGTTATCCAGTTAGACTCCTATGAAGACAGCCAAATCTTGTCAATATTTATATATGCGCCAAAGGCTGTCCCTGACTGACACGCTTTAGAACCATGTCCCACTTTTTGCAAATATTTTCGGCCACGCGTTCACCGCTAATATATGCACCCACGGTTGTGGCTTGCCGACAAGCTGGAGCGACATGTTCTCCAGCAAACCAAACACCTTTCATTCGGTTCAAGACCCCGGCATCACGGAGAATAGCAACGTCTTTGGCGGCATCAGCTTGACCAATTTGGAAATTACTATATGAGCCATTGCCCGCGAGATCGTCAAGCTGCCATGTCGAGCAATAGTACGATCTCGGTTTACATGCAGGATCATTAATGGCGTAGTTGGGAAGTCGAGAGTAAAATGGTTTTGTGTATGTCTCTAGAACGTTATTGTATTCGTCGCCGTGCGGTTCAAGGCCTTTGATGGTGTGAACTAGTTGGGTGGCGTAAGGGCCGTGAATGTAAAAAAGGATAGTGGGCTGAGTGTGGCCTTGTAGAAGATGAGTCAAGGATACAATCATCTGGTTGGCTGGATATGGGATTTGATTCTTGACGTATGATGGGTGGTGGAAGTGCGTCACACAGGGGTAGCCGTCTATCGAACCAGTTGATTGCTGATCCTGACCACGCGAGAGCCAGAAAGCTAACGGGAAAGTCAAGTAAATCTTTTCCAAACGCCCGAAGCTAGAGTCCCTGTTAGACTGATTTCAGACTCCAAGATGGATCAATCATATACCTAATATTATCAATTGCTTGAGACAGAGGAGGTGGAAGTTCTGGGACGAAGAAACTGGTTCGATGCTTCTTCAGCCATCCTAGTGGACATGTCACCACGACCTCGTCGAAACTTTCTTGGGTCCCACTGGAAGTTTCTACCATTACTTTGGCTGGACTTGAGTCGTCTTGGTAGATGATGCGGTTGACTTTCTGGCCCAGTTGGACCACGCCCTTTTCAAGCGCCGGTTTCGCCACCTGGGAAACAATATTCTTATAGGTGCCAGAAACAAAGACGTCAATTCCTCCCGGACCTTTTTCGAGACATTGATGCTTCAGACTTAATGAACTGGTTGGATCGCCATCCCACATACCTCGTCGCTCGGCTTCCCGATGTAAATCCTGCATGAATTCGGGCTGGCCTTTGAACTCCTCGGTAACTCGATCTCGGACGTAATCCATGATACTCAGTCTCGGGTCAATTGCGGCCGAATGCTGATAGCTATACTCGGAAGCCCGGTCAAACAAATCGTCAATTGTCGTCTTTAGTCTTTCAGCATACGGGATCGATCTTGATCGCCCGGAGGAGTCAACGAGCGCAACACCGAACGGGCGAGGACAGACAAAAGTGTTGGTGTCTTTGGCGATGTCCATAAGAGGATTTTCGTTTGGTTCATGAATCCAGTTTGCCCCAACATCATAAAGTTGGCCTTCGAGAGAGACTTGGAATACCCGGCCTCCTATTCGGTTGCGAGCCTCAAAGACCGTGACATCAACTCCACCTTGGAGGAGCACATCAGCACATCTCAGACCGGCAAATCCTGCTCCTATGACTGCCACCTTTGGTCTCTGATATGCCTTGCTCATTTTCTGGGTTTTATCAGTCCGGGATAAATAACCTTTTACATTCCCTTGCTTGAATGAGGAAATGGTGGTGAGAATAAATAATGACAGATGAAAAAGGAGTCAATAGATATAAGGAAGTAATGTTAGTGAGAAGATAGACAATTGTCCCTGTTAATAGAAAAATCTCGTCGTCCGGAAGGAAGTCACTATATTTACCAGAGTCCGTCTCGAACATTGGGATTAATCCAATACGTAATGGCCTAAACATGCGACTATCCTTATTAAAGTAGGTATATGCTGCGATCCGTCGTAAAAGGGGAAAAAGTATTCCTATTTACCGTTAGATCTCTAACTTATTGTCTAGTGCTCAGAGCAAGGAATCTCCACAAGTGAGTAATAGAGTAGTGTAATAGAGAAAGGCATTCATATCTATATGAGGTGACAGGTTCAGTTGCAGAGTCATCTATCAAACACCAGAGAGGATCGATTAACCGGCAGGATCTTCGTCTTCTTAGAGGCTGTTTATGACCCGGCGCTCTACTCCTCGCTGCTCAGCTACGCAGGCTGTCGAAAACTAATATGATTGGCTAATATCGACCGGCTGCCCATTCATGGAGGTGGATCCAGATAAGAGACTATCGCGAGATTTAATCGCCTTTAACCCCTATAGGGGAAGGTTTTCGCGGATCTTTGGGGTAGTACAACGGTGATATCCATTTAAAGATCCAACACCATCATCTCGAGTGAGATATACGAGATTGTTATCTTATATACATCCTCGTCTCATTACCATTTTCTAGATCCCTCCAATTTCTAAAGCTCTATCTCAATATGACCAGTGCAGAGATGGAGTTCCCACTTGGAACAATTAAATTGGAAGAGCTCACCCGTTCCCATGCCGAAATTATCCTCCATCCAACTCCCACTGATGATCCGAATGATCCATTGGTAGGTGACCGCCAAAAAGAGAACACCTAATCGAGACCAACCATGTTAACCATCACTTTAGAACTGGTCACGATGGCGTAAAGCTATCAATTTTTCGCTCGTCAATTTCTACGTCCTCATGACCTTTGTCCTTGTCGATATCGGCGTTGTGGCTTATGGGCCTTATGCAGATATTGGAATCTCATACGGTACCATCAACGACGGATGGGCGTTGAATTATGCTGGCCTAGCAGTCGGCTGTATACTTTTTATCCCTTTTGTGTACAAGTACGGTCGACGGCCAGTGTACCTCTTCAGCATGCTTTTTCAGATGGCATCCACTATCTGGAATGCAAAGCTTAACTCGGGAGGAGAGCTGCTTGCGGCTTACTGCCTTGCGGGGTTGGGTGGCGCCATTAGCGAGACTATTGTTCAAATCACCATTACCGACTTGTTCTTCGTCCACCAGCGTGCTACTGCCAACGGTATCTTCATAACCATGCAGAATGTGGGCTCATACCTCGGTCCTGTTGCCGCAGGTTATGTTGTCACCGGGCAAGGTTGGAGATGGATGTGGTGGTGGTCAGCCATCATCCTCGCTATCAACTTGGTTCTCGTCATCTTTTTCTTCGAAGAAACTTCTTACACCCCTAATCTGATTGGTCATGACGCCACGACCTTTGAAGATACTGACGAACAGCATCCGAAATCCATTGATGCTAATGGGCCCAGTGTCAAGCCAAAAGAATTCTCGGGCCAGAATGACGACCAAGCTGCCAACGTCCACGACTCGGTAACGTCCGTTGAACGACAAGATAGATATAAGCCCAGAACCTACCGGGAACGTATGGCTTTCATCACTCGGTCTCCTGAGACCGAGCACGAGTTCAAAAGGCATTTCTACCAACCTGCGATCATTCTCTTCACCTTTCCAGCTGTCTTGTATGCTGCCATAGCATACGGTACACTCTTATCATGGTATTCAGTCTTATCCACGGTTGAATCCGAAAATTTCCTTCACGCACCCTATAATTGGAATGCCTCGCAGATTGGGCTGTTCAACCTGTCTCCATTTATAGGGTCCGTAGTTGGTGCAATTATTGGCGGACCTCTCAATGATAAAGCCATCATGTGGTTAGCGAGGCGAAATGACGGTATTTATGAGCCTGAGATGCGACTTTGGATGGCTATACCCACCATAATTATCTGTCCAGCAGGAATATTGATATTTGGCATTGGCCTCGCTCATGTGGGTTGTATGCTTTCTTCTGTCGAGACTCAGAAAGGCTGACTTGTCCTCCATACAGGGTTCCAGTTGGGTTTTAGTTGCTTTTGGCTGGGGTATTTTTACCCTAGGGTCGGCAATGGCGATGGATGTGGCTCTCACTTATGTCAATGATTGTTATCAAAACGCAAGTCTTCACTCATCCTTGTATTATTTCGAATTTATTCTTGGGCGCCTAACTAATCTAGCTATGTCTCCATAGATCATTGGAGACGCCATAGTGGGTGTCGTTTTTGTCAGAAACAGCATTTCCATCATCATCCAATTCGCAGTCACACCTTGGATTGACAGCATCGGCGTTCAAAACGTTCATATCAACGTGGCGGTGTTGGCGTTTTTCTTCCAGCTGGCTACCATTCCGTTGTTGATTTGGGGTAAGAAGGCAAGGATGGCCACGACTAACAAGTATATTGAAATGTCAGGGCGTCAAATGTCCAGCAGAAGGCCTTGATAGCTAGTTTAGCTGCTCCAGACAGCATAAAATCCCGTCATCGACGATACCATTATATTACCATACAACAATGTATATGGGATCTGTAAGCCCTGAGCTTGCATCATGGACAATATGTAGGCTCAAAGTGAAGTATCGTTTAAAATTGCCTAACCTGGCCATCGTAAAGTTTGAGGTAATATATCTGACAGGCTGGACCAAAAAATTCCAGCATGATGCTTCCGAATAAGCCAGAAAGAATGAATCACATCACGGAGGGCCTCTTGATCGTCCACTTGAGAGCCAATAATGTCAGACATGTTATCCAACGTTGAACGTTGCTCGTCTTCATCTTGCAGCTCAAGGCAAGCGACCACGAAGGCTAGTTCGCAGCAAATAATTGACCTCTGTGTAATTCTGTTGGTAGTTTCAAGTTGAGATAGAATCATTTTTGACATCACCATTCCTCTTGCCGTTCCTATCGGGTCGCCATAAGCAAGACGTAATCGGTTTAAGATGAGGAGCGCTGTCAAACGGAGAATGAGGACCTGTTGGGTAATGTGAAGCACTTCGATTTGATTGAAGCGTGTGGCAAAGTGCGCCGAACATATCGGCTGCCAGCAATTCACCTTGCTCTCAATTGCTTCTAACTTGCGCACGAGGTCCGTGTTACACATGATTCCGCTATCGCCACATGCCAATTTAATTTCTTTGTTGACTTGACATATATCGTAAAAAAAGGGCAAAAGCGGGGCTGAAAGTCCGAGGTATCGATCCACGTCAGAACCATGTGCTACCCCTGTAAGATGTATGGTTGGAACCTGGCCAGAAAAGAGGCAACATACGGTTTCTGTGTAGACGAGACAGGTTAAAAAAGACGAATCAACCAGATCAAGGCGGCACTCCGATAGAGGTAAGGAGGGTGGGCTGATAAGGCGAAGGACGTATCGACAAATTGATAGAACGTTGCTTCCTGGCAGATATGGAGCAAATGTGACAATCGTAGCTCCAAGTAACAGAACCGTCGAGATGTCTCGTCGGTCGGAGATCTGAATGGATCGAAGCGATGAGACGGATTTGGCCGCTTTTTTGATCCAAAAGTCCTCGGAAAATTTCGCCAACTCCGTCAGCTCCTGGTGATCACGAGAAAATAAGCCAGCGCCTGCAATCAGGCAATCCTTGAGCATCGAAGTCGAATGATCGAGGCGTGATACAATGGCTTGCCTATGTTCACTGTGAAGACTTGGCACCAACAGGTAGTGCTCGAGGAAGGCCTTGTCACGAAAGATGACATTAATCAGGCGCTGCTCTGCTGTATCGAATGCGCCGGCCGAGAGTACCCCACCTAAAAGGGTGGCAGGACAAAAGCTGCCGATAGATAACTGCGAATCTGATGGTGAACTTGTTTCTTCTGTGGACGGACTGGCATGAGATCCATCTAGAGAGCGTTGGGAGTTGGCATCGAACATAGGCCTGATAGCGCGCGGAGAGACTGGTTTTAGAGTGTTTCGAGCTCTTCTGCCGGGCCGACCTAGCTTCCGTTGAATCTCGCAAGTGTGATGCAGACGCAGGCATCTTTGGCATTTTGGGGAAGCTTGTTGCCAGACGCAACGTTCTTTGATTGCATGGCAGCGATCACAAGACGGCACTACGCTCCGTTTTGTGGGACTTGTATCTCTGTAATTCTCGGCGTCCATGGATCTGGTGACATAATTTCTTTTCGCGAAGTAGTAAGTGCTGACAGACAGAAACGAAAAGCAAGTTGGAGAGCGGACGGTACTTGCAGTAATAAAAACGTAGTAACCGCATGTTTATTCTATGACCCGGGTCTGATAATCGTTTTGAAGTGATCCATCATCGAAGCCACGTAATGCGGGGTCATGTAGCTGACTTACTACTTAGGTAATCTCAGGCGACGAACCGGTCATCCGTCATCCCGTTCTGACTAGCCGCTCGCCGCTTTGCTCATCCTCGGCTCACTTGGTACTCCTGGGGCAGCGTGCTGAGCCTGTTTGAACCTCGGATGGCCTCCTCTCGTGCATAAATAAATAAAACCACCGAGGTGTGAGGCCATGGCTCCAAGACTCTTGGATTACAAGGTGGGACTCGCCTCAGCACCTCGTCGCAATGGGATCTATGGGAATAACTATCAAATCGGCAGAGGCGGCCATTGACACCGCGGCGGCCAAAAAACAGCTCCATGAAGAGGGCTGGTGTGCCATCCCGGATATCCTGACCCAAGACGAATGCGCACAGGTGTTGTCACGGCTCTGGGCAGCCAAAGAAGCTAGTGAGAAACAGGGTGACCCGACGCGTCTCGCGTACCTGGATCCCAACCCCAGCAATGTTCGAGTGTTCTACCTGATGCAGCTAGACAAG